TCATAGGTCCTCAAGCAAATCTTTCTCTAGAGGTAATTCAACTCTGGAGGCTCTATTAAGTATAAGTAATTTCTGAAAGCAAAATTCTTGATATCTGATTTACTTAATCAATAATAGTATGTATTTACTTGAATACTTGAATAATAGTATGTATTTATATCGCATTAATATACCAGAGAGAGAGAGCGACAGTGATATTGTTTGTTCCAGGATAAAAACAGAGCAACGTGTGGACCAACGGGAATTTTGAAAGTGAAATTTCTAAGGTGCATTTGTAGAACAGCCACTTCTAAAGTTGGAGATAACGTAATTCTTCCAAGGAATGACCCTTTGTGTGTGTGCCCTGGGCCAACATCAAAAACTGGAATTTAAGTCATTTAGGATTATTGAAGAGGTTTTTGCTGAAGACCAATAGCTTGGAGATGCCTCTAACCCTGCCTCAGGCCTTGCTTCCAAGGGGCACAAATCTGCTACTTAATTATTCATTGTTTGCCATCAAATTGTGGTGTGAACATTGGTGTGGATTTTGCACGAAGTCACCAAAAAGTATTTTAGGACCCAAAGTTTTATGTGCTAGGAACTTGGGCTGACAAGAATTCAATTGTGAATGACAATTCAGTGATTTTGCATCTGTACACATAGTATTTATTATTTCACAGATTATATGGTTAATGATTAAATTTAACAAGTTTATGTTCCCATTTTATTTTAATGCCTAGATAATAAGTCATATTAAATAATGTTTCTTGTCCCTGACTGTTAAATTAGGTAAAATTAAGCCTTCTAAGGCTCTGCTGTATAGCAAATTATTGCTGACTGATTCCAGAGTTACCTCTGTTATTAAATATAATTTAGGGGTGGAACTGAACATATGTGCCCTTTAGAGGCATAAAACTCTCTAAAATAAACTTATACAATATGGGAAAACTGTTTCAAAGTGGCATTTTCACTGTATTAATCAGAAGTTAAGATTTTTGCCTCAATTCTTAGGCTTCACATGTTATTTCCCATCTATGAAAAGAATGCGCTTGTAAAATTTTAAAATGAATTAAAATGTATGAATGTTTTTATCATATGTTAACCAAAGCAATATTTGTTATTTATTAACTCATGTGCCGATCACAGTACTCAGTGTTAAAAATACCCTGCGTGGTCTCAAATTAAAAACTCAGTCTCAGAACTGAGTTGGCTTTTATGTATACACTACAGATAGACGTACAATAAACATGTTTTTGCCTAGTATTTTAATTTTTCTATGTGCTGTGCTGGAACAAAGTACCTTAGGATTCCTCTAATTTCATTCAGTCTCAACACACATCCTGCTATAGAAGATAAACAAAAATAAAAGAGGAAAAATGTAAAGGGGTATAGGAGGCTCTGGAAGGATAATTCTTCTGATTTTTGGTCCATGGTTTTTATCATTTTTTGAATGGTAACAGCCTGTTCCATAAAGGAAGAACAGTTTGTTTTTTGAGATGACAAGTAGCAGAATTATGGATATGAATTAGAAATTGTGCAGAGTTACTGTGAGTCAGTCTTGAACTTGATTTGAGTCCCATCTCTTATCGTCCATTATAATGATGTTAAAATACGCTGTATATTTCTCCTGGCAATAGAGTAGTCCAGATTTTCTAACACTTAAAGAGTTTGGTGTTGATAACCTTTCCTTTACTCTTTACCCATTGGATATACATCCCACTTGGTCGAATGTAAATGTTATGTAAATAGTTAAATAGATATTGAATTGTGAAATTAGAGCAATGGTTTTCTCCTTACAATTTTAATATACTCACACACAATCATGCATGTGTATTATTTAGGAGATATTTTTGTTCATTGACTCTGATTGGTCTTATTGAAACCCATCCAATGAGCTTTGACATTAGAGATCATAAGATACAAAAATTTAAATCACAAACATGCATATTTATGCATGTTATATGTAGCATATAAGATAATTCTCTTGACAGAAAGCTCATGTGTCATTAGCTGACTTTTCTTTGTGCAGTGAAAGCTGTGTGCTTAATGACGAAGTTTAATTAACCTGCTTTTTCACAAGGGATAGGATGAAAGTCTGTTTTTAAAGTCATCACAAAAAATAATGCTCAAATTATAACATTTCGTTGGATATTTATAAACTTGAGCCATTTCGGTAAACTGAAGCATCTGATTGATGTACTTCCTGCATCGAAATGAATGATAATAGTAAATTTGATTCCTTTATAATTATATTGGACATTAGAACTAAAATGCTTTTTGTACCAATTCCATAAGCAAATACCATGAATTTATCATTTTGTAGCTATGCCACCAGGCAATCAATATCTTTAATCACCCATTAAGAAAGTAATCAAGAAAAATGTTTTATATTAATGAAATACTAGGTTCTGAATATTTTAGGAGGAAGTTTTGTTGTGTCACTTATTCTGTCGATAGGAGAGAAATGTGTCTTATAAAGACAAATTAGAGTACTTAAAAAGTGAATAATGTTAAAAACAAGGAAAGAAGAAACAAATACAGTCTAAAACTACATATTTAGATCTTTGAATTTATTTTTGTCAATCTCTAAGCAAACATGTTATATATTTTTAAAATTTTATTAATTTTGAAGGCAGTAATTAGGTATATCTATGTATTTATTTATTTTAATGGAAGTATTGGGGATTGAACCCAGGACCTCATGCATGCTAAGCACGCGCTCTACCAGTGAGCTATACCCTCCCCGCAAAAATGTCATATTTTAATGGGTGATAATGAAGCCAGTGATAGGAAAACTGTTAAAGACTGTTCAGAATGTCATGGAAGTGTAACTGTATACTAACATATATGCAAATGTTATTGTGTGCTGAAATACTTAATGTCTTTTTCACATGTGCATTTATTAGTAATTCTTAGTAGATTTCTGCCATGCTATGTATGACCAAAAACGAAGATCAGAGTTTTTAAAGTTGTAAAATCTGTAGCATCCATAAAGCCATTGTTAGAACTAATGCCAGAATTTATTCCAACTGCACACTGGAAGGCCAGGCAAACTACATATACATCCCATCTTAAACCAATTAATTTAGACTCTCCATTCAAGATCGTTACCCTCCAAAGCTTGTAAATGATACAATAACATTGCATGAAAGTGGTGTTTTCATAATAAAGTGTGCTCAGTACCATTATGGAGTTGCACGAGAAATACCAGCTTTGGTTCTTTGCCTGCAAGGAGCACTTTCTGCACAGCAGACACGTGTGTCTAGATATGAGGGGCGGGAGGGTGAGCTGAGAGAGAGTCCCCAGGAGTCCAGGTCCCAAGATCTAAGGCAGCTCCCAAAGGAGGTGATGAGCTGTTTTCTCAAAGCCTTTAAAACAAGAAGGCTTGTTGTTGTTTCTTTATCCTTAAAGACTTCTCCAAGCAGCTTCCAACTTCATGACTCCTTTTTCTTCTTCAAGCCCCAAAAATATTTCTGGTTCTATTCATTTGTCACAGGATTTTGGAAAGAATCCACATTTAAGGAGTCTTCAGACCTTATGTCTAGGTATATGAAATTCTAGGAAGAAAGCCTCATAAATTGCAATAATCTTTTGAATGACATTGGTAGTTACTACTTAGTAGTAACTTTCATTTTATTATAACGATAAATAGTTTTTCTTTCAAGAGGAACAGTATCGGAATACTAAAAACAAGGCAGCTTTAAAAATAAGCAGTTTCACAAAGAGAGAAACTAAAGGGAAAAAAAGCACGCCTTTTACAACTTTCCTTATATTCCATTAGCTAAGGTGGTCCAGAAAAATATGAGAAATCTATCATCATTGGCACCAAGCCATGTCTGTGTTTTAAAGTATGTGATTTTGAGAGCAATATGGAGTAAATGTTTACAGCATATAGTTTCTGCTAATAAATTTTCTAAAATTCACCCCTTCACAGTATATACCGTTGTTATCTACATGACATAGTTGAAGAAAATGTTAGTGTTTCTTATCATATATATATAGAGAGAGCATTCTCCTTCAACTTGTGTAAGATATTATGCAGAAGGAAAACAGAATCAGCTACAAAGAAGTTGAAGCATATGGATTTTTTTGTGTCTGCATATTTTACACATTTGTCATTTTCTATTGTATTTCTTGCACAGTGCCTGCAATTGCCATTTTGATCATCCACATAAAATTCTTCACTTACGACCTTCACAGACATCAGCCAAACATATTTTTCCAACAGTGAAACATCTAACATGCTTTATTCACTCACCTAATTTTTTTTCCTCTCTCAGGATCCCTGGGGAGAAAAAAAAAAATTCACTGACTTAATCTGATGTTGAAAATGTAAAAGGTCACTTGCTCTCACGTGGTTACCCACTTTGACCTCTCCTCCTATACTATCCGCGATGCTGCTTTTACGCTCTATTTTTTCTTTTATTTTAGACTTTCTTTAGCATTGTATTTTTAAGCCAAAAAAAAAAAATCAAAATGGAAAGTTCCTAAATTCATGCTGACAAAGTTAGGATTTTTTAAAAAGTCTTTTTTGGGACTTTAGTGGCATTGAACACTCCGTCATTTGGAGGTGGTCTCTTGCTCAAAGTTATTCTTGAAATTTAATTTTCAACACCGTATCCTAAAAATGGGTGTCTGGTTGTTCAGCTAATGAGGGAAGAATGTCGAGAGCAAGGGGTAATTTTGAAGATATGATGTGGTTGGGAAGAGTCGTAGGGGAGACACTAAATTTTCACACTTGGCTCAAGGATAGTCTTAGCCAGTATCGCTGGACGGCAGGCTGGACGTTGGCCCGGACAGAGCTTCGAGGGGAGGTGGGTGGGTCTACCTAGTTCTTCCCATACTTTTCCACATGCCTCAACTGAGAGTGAGAGATAACCCACCCGTTGCATGAAGTGCGTTTGTAACACACATTCATTCCGGGGATGCAGGGTAGGTGTCTGTCGTTCTGAGATGTACACACGCAAGATGATGACATGTGTAACCCTTTACTTTGTAGACTGAAGAGGTCGCTCTTAAAGTGACACATCCGCCCCTGGAAAGCCGTTACCCTTTTCATTCTTTTCCTCTTGTGCAGGTGACTTGGATTATTACTGGTTGGATCCTGCCACGTGGCATAGCCGGGAAACATCACCTATTAGTTCGGTAAGCATCCAGGGAAGGAGGATTTGGGAGCCCAGGGAACGTGTGTGCCCTTTGCCATCCTGTGTCTGATAAGTGGTCAATAGTAATCTTATTCTGCTCCATTGTGTATTCTGTGAGAGAAAATACTGATTCATTTAAGACAGTATAGTTGGGAAGAAAAACAGTTATCACTGAATATTTATGACAAATTTTAAAATAAGTAAAAACAAGTATTAAATAACGACTCTGTGTAAATGAGATAGTATTTGGTTAGTGACACCAACATTAATAATAACTCAACATGCAGAATTGGTCCTATTTATATGTAAGCTGATATATTTTAAATTTTCAATTAATTTCACTTTGGAACCGTATTTCAGAGATGCATTTAGTTGCTGACTACTTTTAGAACTATTTAGTGTAGTAAGTGCCTATTGCAAATGAAATACAGCTGTAAATGAAAATTGTTCTAAGCCAAGGATAGAGCCCCCAGAATAAAGAATTCCCTCTAGAGTGCCTTTTACCTGAGGAAACCACATCATGCTGCAACCAATAATTCTGTCTCTGTAGGAAGAAAAAACAGCTTATCTTTCTATCTTCATTTATGTTTTAAAGCATCCTGTAACCTGGCAGCCATCTAAAGAGGGTGACCGTTTAATTGGACGTGTTATTCTTAACAAGAGAACGACCATGCCCAAGGAATCAGGTGCATTGCTAGGTCTGAAAGTAAGTATGCTGGCTTCTAATGCTTCTTGAAGGGTGAATTATATAGCATGGACTGCATTCAACAAAGTTTCTCGCAATGATTTTTTTTTTGCATTCTTTTTTATTGAAGTATGGTCAGTTTACAATGTTGCGTCAATTTCTGGTGTACAGCATAATGTTTCAGTCATACATATACATACATTTATTAGTTTTTATATTCTTTCTTCTGGAGATTGTCATCCTAAGTGAAATAAACCAGAAAGGGAAAGAAAAATACTATATGATATTGCTTAGATGTAGAATCTTAAAAAAAAAGACACAAATGAACTTATTTACAAAACTGACAATGATTTTTAAACCTCCTTTTCTCCTCTTCTAGTGAATATATCTTATGTTAATGTCTTATGGTATAATTAGTATTTTAATCTGGGTAATATTTTTAAATCATTTTGTTAAAATGGCACACAGATGTATATGACAACTGCAATAAAATATTAAAAAAAACTAAAGAATTTGAATATAAAGTTCAAGGACAATTTTTACATTAAAATAGTTTTAATGGAAGGCAGTAAAGTTAGATAATATGGACCTCATAATTTTATTATATCTTGACAAGCAACATAAAACATTATTAAAGAGATTGTTTCCTAAGGGCAGTGGAATTTATGGTAATATCAAAAGAGTAAAATGTATCTTTTAAAATACTAACTGAGTTCTAACAGATACAATTTAAAAAACTAATAAACTACAAAGATAATGATTTGGGTAAGAAAAAATATACATACATTTTGTTTTATTATGTGTGTGCCTGTGTATGTGTGTTAAAACCCATGATTTTATTTGCTTTCATAAACTTAGAGAAATGTTTAAAGAGGTTGCTTTAAAATTATCATTTACCAAGAGATTGTATTACAGTCGTGTGATGGTTTGAGCTCTTCAAAACCATTGACTATTAATCTAACTTCAAAAAAATACTCGGTTAATATCACCCTATTGATTAGTACCATTGATTTCTCTTCCAATGAAACAGCTCTGATCACCTCCGCTCTTGTGTGTGACCCTAAGAACATGGATCAACCTCAACTTTTGATAATATCCGTGTCATTTTAATTATACACATTTACCCCCCCCCCGCATTGGGAGAAATTACACTCAGAAACTTTCAGGTGTATTTCAGTTTTACGCATGGAGGACAAGTCAGGTGGGAGTGTTCATTACGCAGCAGTAGAACTCAGGCTTGGAGGGTTAGATTAGATCACATGTTATTTCAGATGAGGGAGGGCATTCAGACGGTCGGTAGCTGAGATGAACTTAGGCTATTACTATGTACCCTGGTAAATTGCTTCCCCAATCGGCCTGTTCTTGGTTCAGATCTCCAGTCTTACAGAACAAAAACAGACTCACAGACATAGAAAACAAACTTATGGTTGCCAAAGGGGAAGGGAGGGGTGGAGGGATAAACTGAGAGTTTGGGATTTGCAGATATTATCTACTATATATAAAAGAGGTAAACAACAAGGTCCTACTGTAGAGCACAGGGAACTATATTCAATACCTTGTAATAGCCTATAATGAAAAAGAATATGAAAAAGAATATATATATGTAACTGAATCACTACGCTGTACACCAGAAGTTAACACAATTATTGTAAACTGACTATACTTCAATTAAAATAAATTAATAATTTTTTTAAAAAATCCCCATTCTTGTCTTAGACCTACATTCTCTTAAAAGTATACAAGAGTGGTCCAGGTCTCATGTCACAATGGGGCATTATCTGAATATAGAAATTCAAATAGTAGGTGTTAATTTAGAGGATGGAGACAATGAACCCGAGTTAGTCAAGTGTCAGACACTTGCTGTGTGATGGGGGAGACCCAGTCCTTGTGTCTAAGGGTGTATGTTGTCCATGGACCCTCCGTTGTGAGGTCCATGTGAGGGGCTGGTACGTGAACATCCCTAGAACTCAAGGTCATCTCCCCTGTAATGAGATGTAGTTTCTTTTCACACCTGTACTGCAGGCTCCCTCCATCAACAATGCATTTCACTTCATTTTTTTCCTACACTCAGTTCTAAACACACCTAAAGGCTGTAGGATTAATACCTCCAACGAGTGACCTTCTGTTTCAGTGTGAGTCTTGGGCACTTACGAGTCTATCATTATCCAGGTGGTTGGAGGAAAGATGACTGACTTAGGACGCCTTGGTGCCTTCATCACCAAAGTAAAGAAGGGTAGCCTTGCAGATGTAGTTGGACACCTCAGAGCAGGTAAAGTTTCTTTTTTAACATTTGAATAATGTGTACTCTGTGCATTAGTTGGTGGTTTTCCATTAGGGGTAAGTTCTATATAAGTCAGTTAAGTGAATAACTAATTTTAATGCATGCATAAAGATTATGTTTTTCCTAATACTTAGTGACTGTAATAACAGGTAACACTACATTGGTAACAGTTTGGAGACAGTGAGTAGGAATCTTTTTTATATTTATATAAAAATAAAGAGATGTAAAATGCTAAGGGATTCCTAATTTTTGTAGATGGCTTCATCATGGTGCTTCAAAACTCCAAAACAGTTTAGCCTAAGAAAATAATATCACTGTTTTGTTCTTTAAATTGGAAATTATCGTAACTATTAAAGTTTTTCATAGTGGTCCCAAAAGACTTATTCAGTACCAATGTTTTTAATAAAATATAATGACATTCTTACACAGATTGTGTAATAAAATATTTGTTAATTTAAATGATGTGACATACATTATACTCATATGGGTGTGCAACTTCTTGATACTTGGAAATTTACAGTATGTCGCTCTGTGACCTTAACATGAAGCAATAAACTCATTTAATATATTTAAATGTACCTTGCTTAGTGGCAACGTACTTCAAAATCTATTTTTCTTAAGTTATTGAATTTTCACTTTAGTAAAAATCATATTAACATATTTTTTCCAGTTTACCCCAGAGTCTACTAGACATCTTTTGGTTAGCGTGTCAGACAATTATAAAGGAAACAGAGTAGGCTGAAGTGTAAAATTGAGGATTAATAACCCAGAGCACATGGAAAGAAAACATTTTTAGACAATGCTTTCAGTTTTTATACCTTAAGGTAATCATGACTGAGCCCTTTAGAAAGATATTCTAGGACTCTTGAGGACGTTTTTGTTGTAACTGGTGACCAGGATATCAGTTCAAAATCATTGAGGACTTTCTCTGCAGGTGGTGTAGAGAGAGAAAAGCCAAGCCAGGGCTTTTTCTCCATCTACGGATCCATCAGCTTTGAAGATGTGTGGAAGTATAGCACACTGCTGTTTCTTATCAGGGGCTTGTTAGGGTTCTATAAAGAAGTAACTCAGTCAGGAGTGACTTTGCCCAGACATTGAGTCTCTGCTTGTTTAATAACTGGAAAATAGGTCTTGAAAAGCACACGAATCCTTTGTGACTCTAATGTAAGAGAGCTTTAACCACAGAAATAAGAATTTGCAGATCAGATTATAAACACAATGGCATTTGACTTTTGTCTTTGTGTTTTCATAGAAAATTATGTAAGGAAGTTAGCAAAGGGCTTTTTCTATATTATGTATTCCTTAGTGATTAATTTCATTTATTTAACACCCTTATGTGCCTGGAGCCTAAGAAACAAACCTAAAGTGTTAAATAAATATAAAACATCTAAGTGTACTTTTCACTTGAAGCAATTGACGTATTTGAAAAAAGATATTTTTTAAAATTAGGTAATATATCCTGTTTGATTTACATGATTATTTAGGAACTATTTTTTTCCCCTTCTGTTGCATATAAACATTGCTGGCCTGTAATACTACAGTTTATTTTGTTTTTATCAGCATGACCTTTGTTCAGCCTTTGCAGTCTCGCTTTAATCTGGCCACAGCTTTTTCTACTGCTGTTCCCTTAAGGCCATGCTCTGCACCACTCACCGCTTAGTTTCATCAGCAAAAGCACAGTATTGACAAGGACACTCTCCTTATTAAGACCCTTTGGTGTCTCTCAGTCACCCACTACTCGAGTCTGAGCCCTGTAGCTTGTCCCCTTCTGACAGTTCTGGCCACTTCCTTCCCATTTACTTGGCCTGCAGCCCTGGCGGTCTGCCTGTAGGTCCCGGCAAGCTGTGTCCACCTCCCAGACCTGGTCAGTGCCTCTTGTCTACTTGGTTGCTTTCCTTCCTGCTCCCGTGCTTTGCCTGTTGGAGTCCTTCCCATCTCTCCAAACCCGTCTAGAGTTACTTCAGTTCTAAAGTGTTTCCTGATCTCTCACCTGGGCAGCCACTAACGACCACCTCCCTGGCACTGCCTGGCTCTCCTTCTGTTCCCCAGAGGAGCTCCCATCATTGTGTACAACACTTTATGAAAGATGTCTCTTTCTGTATTTCTCTTCCACCAAATCTAAGGACAGGAGAAAGCCTCTTTTTCATTTTGATATCAACATAAGCTACATCCACTTGAAAAGACTATTCGAATATAAAGCAATAGTGTTAAAGAGACCACCTAGTTTAGGAGTTACTGATTTCTAAATAAATAAATCCATATATTAAGGTAATTTGATGTTAAAAGTGATGCCTTTAGGTTGCCATCTATAAAAAGAAGAATTTTATAATGCAGTGTTTTTGGCAAAATGTTGATTACCACTCTGCCACTCATTACTGGGTAGTAAAGTCTATTTAATGGTTTGCATTCATCATTTTAAAAAAGTGAAATAGAATGTAATAGAATAGAAAATATGTGTAAGTATTGTCTTAGAAAATATTGTCTCATATGCAGAGCATGTACACACACACTTATGTGTACATTCACATGATATGAATTTTATTTCTCTTATCAAAAAATGTAAAAGACTCCTCTAATATAGTTTAACTTTATATTATTTTATTTCTTTTTTTTTAATAGTGAAATGTATTCATTGTCTATTTGAAAAACTGCTAGGTAACATCTTAGGTCAAACCATCAGAAGTCATTTATCTCTTGCTAATAACCATACTCTTGCCAAACCAAAGCAGCATTATTTGCTTTTCAGATATTTATTCTTTTTTTTTTCTTTTGAGTAAGCAAAGATTTGGGGGTGGGGCAAAGACTGATTTAAAAATAATTCCAGAAAAACAAAAATTTTCTCCTGTTTTGTTATAAAGGCGTTGCTAAAAACTAAAAAGTTCACATTTACAGTTATCTCTAAAATGTATAACGGTGATATGATCCATTAATTCAACATATGTTTACTCGGCTGCTAAACTGTTAGAGGCACTGAGAACAATGCAATAAGCTGAAATATCAAAAAAAAATTAAGACACCTCAAAAGATCACTGAAGCTGGGACATTTCAGCTGAACCTGCTGTTGTCAATTGAAGGTACTGGGCAGAGATGCTTGAAACTTAATATTGCTCTAAATATTTATGAAAATAAATTGTTTTCTCCAAACAATCTTTGGTGAGAACGCTTGTTAAAATAACAAATTGTGAACCTGTATGTTTTAACATTGTATTACACTCCTTGATTAATCTGACATTATTTTAAAAACTAAGAAGTACTGTATTTTTAATTATTTTGCAAGTATTTTCTAATTTTGCTTTAATGCTCACAATATATACTACGTGTAGAATGAGTGTGTTACGAACATCTGGAAGTGGGCTAACTGTCATGCAAGTTTTACATCTGCTTGCTTTGTGACTTTGCCACGGCTACCTGCGTTCCCCTCTGGGTACGGATTCAAACCCTTTCATGCATTTTTATTCTGTTGTGCATCGGTAAAGGCAATGAAGCATGACTTATAATTGGAAAACTCATGCTAACAAATGGTAATTGTGATTTCTACCAAAAGTAAAGCAGCAGGATTTATGCAGCATTTAATAATCTTTCACATGTAGCGCCACCTACATTTATTATATGAAAGGCATGCTGCTAATTATTATTTTTTAATGTTTCCAAATAGGCTGTGCTAGTTCCATCCCATAGCATGAGATGATTTTTATATTATTTCTGATATTTATCAAAAGATAAAAGTAGTTTTGTATTGTACTATTTCCAGTGACCAGTAATATTCTATGGGGGAAAGAAAAAGAAAAAGAAAAGAAAGAAAAGAATAAAAGAATAAAGTGTTTAGAAGAACCATTTGGCTGACATCTGGCAATCAATTTGCTTTTGAGAGCAGAGCTTAGACAGTTAAAACTATTTGTATATGTTTTGCATTTCTTTGTTAAAAAAGAAACGATAAGAAAAATAAACAGAATATATAAGGTAAAAAAATACCCTTTTTTTTAAATTCAAGGGGATGAAGTTCTAGAATGGAATGGTAAACCCCTGCCGGGAGCTACAAATGAAGAAGTTTACAACATTATTTTAGAATCAAAATCAGAACCTCAAGTTGAAATTATTGTTTCAAGGCCTATTGGGTAAGGCTAAAAAAACTTACTTCTTAAGTTTAGTAAATTACATGTATTAGCAGAGTTTTAAAAAGAAGTTTATACATTCATACAGTACATGTTAATATGGATAGATTTTTCTTCAAATATGGGCATAGATTTTTAAATCTTATAATTTTTTTAAACTTGAATCCTGAATTTTCTTCACTACATCTTAGAAGCTCCACAATTTAACAATTGCAGTATCAAAAAGTATTGATATGTATTTTTCAGAAGTGAACTATAAAGTAAAAATATTTTCTTTTAATGGTAGAACTACTTATTTTTAGTAATTCTAAATCATTGTAGTATTTCCTTAAAGGGAATAGTCCATAACAAACTCATCTTCTTGTGATACTTAAAATAGTAATGATCTCATATGTCTACATGAACTTTTTATTATCCTACTAAGAATGGAATATTGTTTCTATATCTTTACCCATGGGTAGGTAGTTCCAAATTTTATTTAAAATCAAGAAAGTGTGAAATAGTTTAACATCTTAATTGGTCATAATAATTGGTATGATATTTTAAATTCTAATTTACAGCATAATTAAATTATCTATACCAATGAGATATTTTCTATATCTGAATATAGAGTTCCCATATTGGTAGATTTTCCTAACTAACCCACAAAGTCCAGAACATTCATTTTGCCCGTCTATAGGTTTTTGGAAGGCATTATGAACTGTCTCATTATAGTTGGCTTAGTTCAAATGTATTTTTGAAAATTATTCCTTTTTTTTTTAGTATTCTCTAAGATATTATGGAGCCATTAATTCAAGACTTTTTATGTTGAAAAGTAGTAACCTTAAATTTTTTGTTGTCCTTATGAATATTTGTCAATGCAAAACATACAAGAAAATATAATTTATCCTTATTCTCAAAGAACTTAAACTATGTGATCATATATTCCAAAAAATAATATATATATATGTAACTCTAAAATAAAGGCAAGCTTATAACCAATTTTAAGTGGTGATTATTAAGAGTAAACATTGGAGACATTTGCAGAAGTATTGCACATTTCCATATAGATTTTTTTAAAAACTAGCAACACTATGTAATTTATGCTAGTTTTACATGACATGTTCTAGTGTTGAGTAAATATGAGGCTGGAAAAGAGGTAAGTAAATTCGAAAATGAATCAAAAGTATAAAAAATCAAGTTTAAAACCAAGCGTTGTGCACACTGCCAAAACTTTTAAATATGTAGTGGTTTTTAAAGCAATTAGCTAAAATACCATTGATTCATGGCAACTTAAAAAGACTAACAGACAATTAAAGTGGACTGGAATAACATTTTCATTATTTCTACTTCTGTATGAAAATAATTTAAAAAGTATTATCTACATAGCCAAACCCTAAACTGTCATGGAGTATGGAATTCTAAGGAATATGGGACTGCAAAGATTATATTTAAATAAAAATCAAATCTGGCATACACTTTCCAGTTAATAGAGAAATTATTAGAATCTTGAAAGAATAATTTTTTATTTAATAATTATGTTTAATGTGGTTCTATAATCAGTTTAAGCAGAAACCAGATGTTTGTTCATAGTTCAGTGGGGTAGTGATTCCAAGAGTCATTCCAAATGTAACATACGTACACAATGATCACATGAGCTAAAAGACATTCACCCTCTTGACGTACTGACCATTTTTGCCCACCTATCAAATGTGATATTCTTGACCTTTATGCTTATAATTGTTATTAGAACTATTTTATCACCTTACTTGTGATTGGAACTCATTAAGAAGGTTTGTGTAAATGTTAAGTGGAAATTTATACCTGAAAATATTGAAGCAATAAATGATAAATACATTTTAATTCAAAATCACTTTAAAAAAATTTTTTACAACTTCTCCACGATCCTTCTTTCAGGGGTGCATAAAAATCAAAGCTTGTACCTGGTTTCAGAGTTTCAAATTGGATTTTTATAATTGTCCTTGAGGCTGATTTTCAAAGAAGTTTTACCATCTGAAGCATTATAGTTTCTAGATTTTAAAAATAGACTTTTATTTGCCTTGATGAATTTAGAAGAGAGTAGCAGAAGATAAATGGTTGATTTCTTGTGTTTTAGGTGTTTAAAAGTCATCTTTAAACTATCACGTAAAATATATATTTTATACAAATTACTAGTTATACATAAATCTATAATTAAATGTATTTATAAAGTACACAACACAGGATGAATTATCATTTATAAGAAGTATAAATTGTAGGTGGTTATGAGGATTACTTTGCCCCAAAAAGTGAAAATGAAGAGTCAGGAAAATAGTCAAACAGAAAACTGTTTTTGTTTCTAATGTCCCTCTCTCCTTAAAGTGCAAAGAAAATCGAAGCGAAGTTAGTTCACAACGTAAGAGGTTACAAATTCTTAAATGATATTCTAATAATTCTCTTGACACTAGCTAATTCCAGTCTGCTTTGATATGTCATGTTAATACTTGGACATTGTTAATCTCCTTAAACTGACATTAAAATATCTTGGAAAATGGAGGTTAAATAGTTTAATTATAGAGTATAGTTCCCAAACGAAGCTGGTCATTTCTTAGGGTCACAGTAGATAGTAGATTAAGCCGAGGTGATATTATGTATTTATTCAGAGTAATTTGTGAGTGTGACAGGAACGGTGTTCTCACAAGAAGTCACTTTCTAATCACACAGGAAATGATCACATATTTAGCTAATTTCAGCATAGAGATGTGAATCTCTATATAGGGCTATATATGTGTATATGAATTATATATTCACATATATAAAATCTTTTGGCTTTTTTTGTTGCAAGCTTGAAACATTTTTTTAATTTCCGAAGCAATTCATCTTTTTCATTTTATTATCTTTGCCCACGATACTCATCATATTATTTTTATTATCAAGAGACGTCTCCATCCCTTTCATTCAGTAAACTCTTTCAGATGTGTTTGTAAAGCATATTAATGATTTGTAAAATATGTGTCATTTTGATTTTCCAAAATTGAAATAAGATACTGCCTTTAACATTTTTTTAATTTCCAAAACCTGCTGTTTTGGTAGTAAAAATATTGTGGTAACTGCAGCCACAATATTATTCTGATTGTTGTCATGTTAAAGTGTTTTGCTATTAAATATATAAAAACTTATTTTTATTGCAGTTTTTTTTTTGTGTGGTGTTTGACATCCATGCACATTAGTAATTGCCTGAATAGTAAGTCCTGTCCATTTCCACACGTGTAAAGACCCCAAAGGACTTTTCACACTGCTGAAATACAGTGTGGCTGGGATGGCCTCAGGCAGGGTGCTTTAGCTAACGGGATTTTCACCATATCCTGTTTCTTTTAGTGACATTCCACGGATCCCTGAGAGCTCCCATCCCCCACTGGAGTCCAGTGAGTATAAGCTGCCTGTTTTCTTTAGTTATTTGACATGAATGAGTTGACACTCATCGCAATCACTGGAAACCAAAAGAAGTTCTGTTTTCAGATTTTCCTTTCTACTCTTGTGTGTGAGTATGCATCTGTGTGTGTGTGTGTGTGTGTGTGTGTGTGTGAGTGTGTGTGTGTATGGCTATGAAAAGTCATAATTGGCAATACCCTTCTGCATCATAACCGGGTGTCAACAGAGCCCAATTAATATATCAGTAATAGTTCTATTTGCCATGCATAAAATGTGTTGTGATACTGGATTATTCAGTTTGACCAGAAATTAGCTCAGGCTCATGAGCTGTCTAGTGGAGGAAATGGGCACATTAACAATTAATTTTAATACAGCATAACCGTGTCAGATATGACCATGGAAGTGAATAGGTGGATACAGGTAAATTTCAGCAGAAATAAATAAAGGGGTCAAGGGACTGAGGCTAGAGGGTTGAATTAGCTCCCTCGTCATTAAAGCAATTCCAGATGAGCCCAGATGACAGAAGGTGATGGTGTGTGTAAGGATGTTTTCAAGGACAATGTGGAAATGACCCAGATATTAACAGCAGATCGGTGTTAAATCCCTCATACTTGGGCTTGATCACCAAGTGTTATTTTGAAACCCAGAGTATAGAAATACAACACACAAGGTGATTTAAGGGGAAAACAAGTAATGGTTACAAGAAGAAAGAAAATATATGAGTGAGATAAACAAGGAAGTGGAGTTTAGGTTAGTATAGCAAACGCATAGCAACACGTCCTGCATACCCGCTAGTGATGAGCCCAGATTTGGGTTTGAGTTTTTCCAATATAAAGAGGGAAATGGAGCCAATTGCATAATTTATTAGTGTTGATGCTACATTTTGCTGTGATATTAGAAACATACTGACAGAAGCAGAGGTGTCTGTACTGAGACTCAAAAGCCAAATTATCTTAAGAAAACTTCATAAAAGGGACATGGTAGCAAAGACTTTCATAGCACTGTTTCTTATAGTTAAAAGTCTTTGGAAAGTACAGAATGATTCTATGTGGTTTAATTTAAGCTTAATTTGCATGTATGGGGAAAAACAGGGTGGAGGATACACCCTTGGGAAATGATTCATAAATAGTGTTTTCTCAGTAAGGCTAATAAAGGTTCAAGGTTGTATCTGTCGAGGTGATGATAGCATTCTGCAGACATTCCATGCTGCTGATTGTGTACGCTTTATCAGTGATCTGGGGAGAGGGGATTTCATTTCGAAAGAGGGGAGAAGGGCCTCACGGAGGGGCTGAGTGGGGAGCCAGCCCCCTCCACGCGTGAATCAGTAGACAGCATTCTCAGGCATTCAGGGCACTGGTCTGTAAGATCAAAACCGACGGAAACGTAAGTCTCATTCTAAAACAATGATGAATCCTATCTAAGCTTAGATGCAGCTCATATGTTATATTTTATGTGCATTCACTTTCATTTCTGTAAGAATATAATAGATGTCATAATGTAGGACCTAAGGTAGTTAACATAACAGGTACCATCTTTATTATTCCTAAAAGCATGAAGCCTTTAACTCTGTGTGCAGTTATCCAGGAGCCTACACTTCGCAGTATTCTCTACAAATGTAGAAAATCAGGACTTAAAGATTGAAGCAAGTAAATACAGTCTTTGTTTGTATCATTTTAAATATGTTTAAAATAAGCAGTTAATCAAAGAAGATACAGTAACTTCCTATGCCTATCTGGTTGAATGTACATTCTGCTCTTAACGTTGGTATTGAATTATGGTTTTATACAGGCCACAGATGCATTTAACATTTCATTAAAAATATTTATTGTCCACATGTATGTTACCAACATGTTACTGAAAAGTACTTACATTTTTCTTTCTCATTTTAGGTTCAAGTTCGTTTGAATCTCAGAAGATGGAAAGACCTTCCATTTCTGTTATTTCTCCAACAAGCCCTGGAGCTCTGAAAGATGCCCCGCAAGTCTTACCAGGACAACTTTCTGTATGTGATTTTTTTTTTTTGTAGCTATTAGAGACCACTTGGATTTGCTTACTGTTCTGAGTCTGTTTTTTAAAATGTTGCCTTTCTTTGAAGCCTGTGATGGATTCATAGTCATTTAATAGCCTAATCTACTTCATCAATTTGTATGCATTGATGAGATTTTTCCTTGATGCATATATTTATTTGAAAATACTTATTGAGTGCCTACCATGTGCCAGATGTTCTGAACATTGATACATGATAAAATTAGTACATAAAATATCAATTATTTTTTCTGTGCTATATTAAAAGTTTCTAAGATAAGGAGTCAATTAGACATAATAAACTCAAAAAGTCATCGTGTATTTCCTTAAAAACCTTCTGAGCCTAGATCTTGAGAAACTTAAATTTAAAATACATATGTATATTTTTTTTATTGAAGTATAGCCACTTTACAATGTTGTGTCAATTTGTGATGTACTGCATAATAGTTCAGCAATGTGTATACATAAATTTTTTTTAACTTCTTAAGACATTTGACAAAACTTTTCATTGCTGATAATAGTCTGAAAAACCTACAGTTTTCCTCGCTGTGGCCTAATATGGGATCTGGGGAGATCTGGATAGAGAAACTGTGGCTAATTATTAGGAAAAGCCACATCTGTGTAGATTATGGTAGAACACAGGACATTTGTATTAATAACTTAAGTTCAAATTATTCTATAAATAGTTGATATTTTGCTACTTGGGTAATGTGTGGATTTCTCTAGTCTGTTTCTGCCATTTTTCTCTTAGTTTTAATTAAACAAAGACGAAAACTGTAAGCTTGGTGTTATTTTTAAAACCTGTCTTGGTTTTAACTTCTCTCTTTTGTAGGGTGAATATCTCGGTCTGGTCCCTGCCATCTTTTTTGTTTCAGCATATATGTAAAACTTTCATACATGTCACCTTTATTTTAAGAGGGACAAAAAAATCCACTTCACTTTTATGGAAAAACATACTTCTGGTATTAATTAGGATCAGAGATACGGACTGACACAGATACGGGTTTGAATTCTTAATCTGTCCCTTAGAAAAAATAACTTATTTTGTTATAGTGACTCACATGTCTTCCAGTATATACCTACTAAATAATTTATGCTCAGAGTTCTTATTTAACCATAAACCCAAAACTAACTAATAACTTTAAAAAAAATTAAAAGTTAACCTTGTCCACCAGCAGCACAAGTAAACTGTATTGACTGCGAAAGTTCTGATTCCTAGGAGTTTGACAGGAGTATTTCAGTGTGTTGGTTTTCTTGTTTTTCTTTGTTCAGACTGTCATGAGTCCTAGTAGAAATGTCATTTGGCCTTCACTTTGTTTAAAGGCATCATTTATGCACTGTACCTTCCTTTGTTCTTTGACTCCTCTCACAAAAATTAACCTGTAACAGCTTAACTGTAAAAGGTGAGAAAAAGTAGCAGAAACCTGCAGTCCCTGGTGGGAAGGAGGCTCAGGGTCCGTGTGCTGCCTGCTCTCTTCCCAGTTATTTTGTATATATTGTCCCTAAGGCCAGACTTACTCAGCTAGAGGTGGTCCCCCAACATGCATTTAGTCATGGTGTCATCGTTAAAATAGTCAGAATCACCAAACACTTTCACTGAGCATTTAAAAACAAGGATAGTTATTTCAATCTCCCCCTCTTCCCTTAGTTTTTTGATAAAGAATTTTATCATTAGTTTTATATCATAACATGACAGAAGAAAGTATGAACCAACACCGCATGCCTGCCAGTCTGTAAGTCACGTTTGAAAGCCAGGAACAGTCAGGTTTTAAGTGCTTATGCTTTCAAGTTGGTATTCTTTGCAGAAATAATATCTCTAATTCAACCATATTGCAATTAAAAATCCCCTTCTCCAAAAAATAATTTTAATATGTTTTTGGTAAAGTGATAATACCTCGTGGTGTTTACAGATAATCATTTCCGTCTCCGTCGCCCTCAGGTGAAACTGTGGTACGATAAAGTGGGCCACCAGCTAATTGTGAACGTGCTGCAGGCAACAGATCTACCGCCGCGGGTAGACGGGCGTCCCAGGAATCCCTATGTAAAAATGTATTTTCTTCCAGATAGAAGGTAGGGGATCATTTAAGAAAAAAACATGCAAAAGTCTTTACTAATTGAAAAAAGTAGAATTTCCTCTCCAGGGATATAGTTTCATTTATGTTTTAAAGCTTTATTGAGGCAAAGCTGATATACCAAACATTTCACATACTTAATATACACATTCTGATGAGTTTGGACATATGCATACACCTGCGATATAGTTTTAAAACATAGTAGGTAATTCTCTAAGAGGGAATAAACTATATTAGCCCTAAAAATATTCCCTCAAGCCTTGTATTTCATTAAACTAATCAAATTTTAAAATTTTCATTACCTTGTTCATACATCTATTAGTCTTTGATAGCTACATCATTTTTTTTAATTTTACTTTTTAAATTGTTTGAGAAGGGAGGTAATTAGGTTTATTTATTTATTTAGACTTACTTATTTTTAATGGAGAGCCTGGGGATTGAACCCAGGACCTCGTGCAGGCTAAACATGTGCTCTACCACTGAGCTCTACCCTCCCCCGATAGCTACGTCTTTAGAATGTACCTTTGTGTATGCAGATCTATAATCGTAACTACTGCTTGCATGGTAGTTAAAGCTAGAATCGTATTAAATTCAAGGCCTTTCAGACTCTTAAGTTAAAAGTGATGAATTAAACATGGTCAACAACCCAGTAGCAGTATTCCATTTAACTACAGTAGATGGCAGTGTTCACTTGTTTTTTGCTTTTTCATTTACAAAACCTACTTATTTTTCAGCGATAAAAGTAAAAGGAGAACCAAAACAGTCAAGAAAGTACTAGAACCCAAATGGAATCAAACTTTTGTCTATTCACATGTGCATCGTAGAGATTTTAGAGAACGAATGTTAGAAATAACTGTGTGGGATCAACCAAGAGTGCAAGAAGAAGAGAGTGAATTTCTTGGCGAGGTGATGTATATGGTGAAGGTTCAAGTCAGATGCTTCATGTCGCTTCTGTGATGTGTGTTAATTCTGATTGCTTTTGTCTTATGTTGTGGGAAAGGTGCTTGGTCTAACCTGAGAACTGCCCTTTCAGATCCTCATAGAACTGGAGACAGCACTGCTAGACGATGAACCACACTGGTACAAGCTTCAGACACACGATGAGTCCTCACTACCTCTTCCTCAGCCATCACCTTTCCTGCCGAGGAGACACATTCATGGGGAAACCGCCAGCAAAAAACTACAAAGTAGGTTAAAGGTCTTTCAGTTCCCAGAAGTAACTGTGTTGTAGTGATCCACTTAGACATTAACATTCAAGATGCTTTTTCATATGTTTATCAGAGATCAAAATATCAAAAAATTATTCATCTATGTAGAGAGACTTGGCAACACCATTTCCCCCATTTACCCAACGGGAGTAATATGTATGTATGTATATGTATATAATATAGTGGGAATAATTCCAGAACTGAAAGTTTAAAACCTCTAAAATTACAATTCTTTGCCCACGAGTAATTGAGTTGTGCAGTGGTTGACTGATAGGATAATTTCTGTCATTATTGATAGATAGCCACATATAAGGTCTTAATCACTGTATAATTCCTGGATATTTTTAGTGTTGTTATTCATAAGAAACATTTTTTATTCAAAAGCAGTCTAAAGTAGGTTTGCTGTTATTCATCTGGTGATGGGGAAAAACAGTATTTTTTTCCTGCACTTATTCATTAATTTTTGCATGGTGACTAAATCTCTAATTGAACAAATGAAACTTAGAAGCCTCATTTTGGTCATCTGGAACCAAACTGTTTTCCTCCTATAATTAAATATTTCATGTTAGTGCTTCTCTGATCACTCACTTCCTCAAAATTGATGTTTAATGCAGTATAATGGCTAATTTGGAAGGCTAAACATGAATATTTTATAAAGGGCCCTGACGTCCTTTTAGGAATATGAGCTCAAGAGAGTTCCAGCCAAGAAAGGTCTCTTTGAATCTTACCACTCAGCCCCATCCTTCCTGAACTGCAGAGGTGGGTGCTTCCTTGGGTAGAAAATAATATACACTTTGCTCTAGACTTTCATGTAATACCTCGCTTAGAAAATAATTTGAAAAGTCAAAATACTATTCATCGAAATCCCCTTCCCTCTATATGTCTTCAGTGACTACAGGGATACAGAGAAGATGTTATCCTTGGAGAACAAATATCCCTTTAAAGTCAGCTCAGTGTAAACTTATTATTCTTGTTCCAAAGTACTCAGTCATACTTACCTTGCTGGATATATATCACTTCCTAATGGTTCTGTTTCACCGGTGGATCTCTCATTGATATAGATAAGTAGATAGTAGAATATTCTGATTTATAAGTAGAAATATATGTATCTGGTCTTAATCCGCATTCCTAGCAGAATTCCTAAAACCCTTGGCATTTCCTAAGTGATAAGAGAGAGAAGGTGGCTCTTGTGGTTCACCTTCAGACTTGCCTCAGTTTGTTAATGCAGTGACTTTTGAAAAGCCCCTAAGGATGGGAGCTGGTTGCCTGTGATTAGAGGGTTGGAACTTGCAGCCTCACATAGTGCCTCTATCCAGGGAGGCAAGAGGGCTGGAGGTTGAATTAACCACTAGTTGCCAGTGATTAGGTCAATCATGCTTACATAATGATGCCTCCATAAAAACGCTTAAAAGAACGGTGTCCAGAGAGCTGCCAGGTCGGTGAACAAGAATGCATCCAGGTCCTGGGGCTGGGGTGGGGGGTGCGCCCCAACCTCTGCAGGTCAGAAGGGTCTCTGTGCTTTTGGCCCTTCAGCTGCCCCCCATGTGTCTCTTCCTCTGGCTGCTCATTCGTGTCCTTTACTACCCTATGTAATCAACCAGTAATCCAGTGAGAAAAAGAAAGAAGTACTTAGTTATAATGTCATTAGCATTTTTTTAAGCAAAAAGAAAACTTGGTGGTGTCCTTGACGTTTCCTGAACCGAGCAGACGGAGGCATCTGTTTCCCTTCCTGTTGTGCAGGGTCTCAGCGAATCAGTGACAGTGACATCTCAGATTATGAGGCTGATGATGGCATTGGAGTGGTCCCTCCAGGTGCGTGGGGGGAGCGCATGGCCGGCTTCCCTGAGCTGCTCTGTTTGCTTTCACTGCTGATTTCCAGACTTCTTTGGGGGCACTCAGCTGGAGATTTATAACACAGAGAAGTCTGTATTATATTATTCCATGGTGACTTGTGTTCCAAATTATTAAGCAAGTTTAATACGGACTGGTGACTACTCACGAACACCCCCACTTAATTTAGTCAGGTTCGTCCTCAGCAGCATGGCTAGCGACGTTAAAATCAGCATTTCACGATGCTCTGGGCATAAGTGAAAATCTGAAGGTTGTTTTGAAAGGATATGGTGAATTTTTTTAAATAAAAATTCCGTTTTCCGACGTTTTCTATTGTGTGTCTCTGATTTTTCCTTCCTCTGTTTCTGAAAATAACGTAGCCTTCCATGGAATATACTGAGACAGGTGCATGGCAGGGTTTCAAAGTGCATGTGGCATGGCTTACCTTTTAATGCTTTCGTGATGTGCTCACCGCTGATTATACCCAGAACGTGTATGTATGTTTTAAAAAAAGAAAATGCTTTAGAAAGATTCAGTATTCGTTTTAAGTCAACATCCTTTAGCTGTTGTATAAATGAGTAAAATTTCTGTGACATTGTACAGTTCAAATCTACATTTCTCATCAGACTCTAGTCAGAAAGTGAGTAAAACCCAGTAGTAAAGGCTTCTTTTTGGGGCCCTAATCATGATCCTTTTACTTACTAATACAAAGTAAGGAAATATTCAAGTCAGAAGAAATTAAAGGGAAAATCTTGGGATATATAAATATGAGTTATTAAAGACATTTCTTTAGGATGATGTTGATGTATGTCCCCTTAATTTGCATAATGTCCCGGATGGGGATGCACTTAATTTGAGGGCAGTGATTTTGGTCAATAGACAGATACCACACTGGTGATGAGGTTCACAATTTAGTGAGATGCATATGACTTTATTAAAACTAGGAAAAAATTATGGAGAATTCCCTAAAACTAGGTTTGATTTGCTCTGTGTGATTCAGAGAAAATAAAGTACTTGATTGCTGTATGAACGTAGCAGATATCCTGCCATAAATCTGGTTCTGTGGCTATCTATACACTGAGACATTTCTCTTCGGTATCAGACCGTCCATGAGAGTTTTAAACAACAGTGGAGAACTGTGGATAACATCTCATATTTCACTTTCTGATTTTGTTCATTTCTAAAAGGATCATAATAATTAGACACATTCTACCCAGAAAACTCCACACGAAATGTAACAGAATATTGCTTTTTCATGAAATTGACAGAGGAAAAGTAATTGTGCATGGTGTGCCTTGGCATATGTAAGTAGGCATCAGTTGATTCCTGGTAGGAAAGTCAACAAACGTTTCTAACAAAAGTCTTGGCTTGTTAATCCAACTTAATGTCATTTCCAACTCATCTAAATAGAATTTACTTTCTGTGGGTGGTTCTCACATTTTATTCACCTAAAATTTTGTATTTTTATCATGAGACAGGACAGTGAATGAATGAAGGGCGAATTCAATAAATATTTACTAAAAACAATGGATTTCTTCTTCTTTCCCTGAGGGATCACCTGGATAACAGCCAAAATGGGAGTTTTAGGACTGACTACAGTGGTATTAGTATTCTGAATTCTGGATATATTTATATTCCATACTGATGGATGCCATATATAATCCCTTTTATCACCTGGAAGTAGTGTCTAAATGTCATTTCAAACAATATTCATTTTTATTTAGTGTTTAAAATGCAAGGAGGCAAACTTTTAGTAGATTATTATTAATAAATTACATAAGCTGATAAATAATATCTTATGTTCCAGAGATTTCTTCATAAATTAATAAAGGAGATAATGGAATTTATTTGTGTTTCTAGGGGTTTTCTTCATTGATCCAAAATGGATTGCTTCTAAAGATGTCCCTGTGTGGCAAATGTAATGTAGCAAGTCACACAGTAATACATGATACAGGTTTTTTTTATTTAAAAGACTTTTTAAAAATTTATTTTATTTTATTTTGGGAGGAGGTTATTAGGTTAATTTATTCTTCCTTTTTTAATGGAGTACTGGGAACTGACCCCAGGACCTCATGCATGCTAAGCATGTACTCCACCACTGAGCTATACCTGCCCCCCTATGATATATTTTAAATAAAGAAGAAAGATTGTAAAATAAGGGCAAGAAACTCAAGTACCAGGGTAAGTTAATAAATAGCACTTTTATAGATGACCATGCACTCTTACAGGCTGATTACAAGTTTGCTTCTATGTTTCCTGGAGTCCAGTATGGAGAGAAATCGGTTCCCAGGTGGATGTCAACTCTACCTATGTTTACGGCATCAGTGAATTTTCTGGTTGTGTGTTTCCTAAAGACACTCACCCATTTCACTTAGATGTTCTACCACAGCTGAACCTTCCACTTTTTTATTAAATTTTATTTTTTATTGAATTGTAGCTGATTTACAATGTTAGTTTCAGGTGTACAGCAAAGTGAACCTTCCACTTTCTGATACCTAGGCTTCTCCAGAACTCCTGGTGCTGGGCTCTTGTTCGATGTGTTACCATCTTTCTCCGCTTGGGGAGGCTGAGGTCTAGAAGCAGCTGAGACTACATTTTGTTACCTTTAAGGTTGTCATGGACTTACTGTGATTTAAAATAGGAGGGAGGGTATAGCTCAGTGGTAGAGTGTATGCTTAGCATGCACGAGGTCCTAGGTTCACTCCCGAGTTCCTGGGTTCAGTCCCTAGTATCTCCATTAAAGAAAACCCAGAGACAAAACCGAAAAAAACGAAAAAAAGAAAAGAAAACAACAACAACCAAACAACCTAGAAGGGAGGGTATAGCTCAGTGGTATAGCACATGCTTAGCATGCACAAGGTCCTGGGTTCAGTCCCCAGTACCCCCACTAAAATAAATAAATAAATAAATAAATAAGTAAGTAAGTAAGTAAGTAAGTAACAAGGGAAAAGAGCCAAGTTCATAAATAAATAAGTTAATAATATTAGCTGCTTAAGAAGAATAAAAATAAACACACACAGAATGCCTTCATCTAGGGCGAGATACCTGGCAACCTCAACTTTCAGACCATTCCTGCAAATTCAGAAAATGGAAAAAAACAAAAACCTTCTAACTTTGAACCACTGAAACATTGAAATGAGCATAAACTAACAGTTCCCTCTTACCTTCTTCTGGAGGTAGGGTGCCTGTTCTCAACAATAAATTCAATATAATGTGAAAAAACAAAGTATTACAAAAAAGCGGATGAAGAACTATGAGTGAATATTAGCATAGGATAAAAAAGACATTATTTTCTGTGTAAATACAAAGAACCCAAGAAAATAGTTCCCTATACCCTTTTAACAGCAAGATGCCTAAATTCTCTAAAAGTTACTTCACGGTAATTAATTACTCCAAACCTAATGGTTCTATTCATATACCTTGAATAGCTATTGAAATCTCAAAATGGTGCTCCCAATTCAATACTGACCTTCTAAAATTATTATATAACTGATACCAAATATTACCAAATGATACCAAATAATAATTTTAAATGGTTAAGTAATTCAGACTTTGGATTCGTTATCTTTAAACACAGCCACTATTTTTTATAATGAGCTGTGAAATAAGTTTACTACATGTAAATTTAGTTGGTCTCCCTCTAGAGTTAATATTACAATTTGTACATCTGAACAACAAGGAAACTTTCTACATGAAATTCAAAATAACAGCTGAATTGCTATTAATTTTGCCATAAAATGAAAGTGTATGAAATTATTAATTATATTGCTTATAGTTATATTATTTAATTTTGCTTTGACGGGGAGGTAATTAGGTCTGTTTATTTGTGTATTTTGATGGAGGTACTGGGGATTGAACCCAGGACCTGGCGCTTGCTAAGCCCTCGCTCTACCACTGAGCTACATCCTCAGCCCCACCCCCTTTTGGTTGTATCATGTGATGATTTACTGATGTTTTTCAAGAGTGACAAAAGGGCTGAGCTTCTTTGGTGTGAATATGGCCACATTGGACTTTATGAAATGTTTAAAAACCTTCCTTATACTCTAAGCTTAGTGAAAAGATTATATAACACCAACAAATAAACTGCTAGGGAATGTTAGTCTGCCTTTAATAATGATGTTACAAGGCATATTTTGAAAATAACATGGGAGCTATCAAGTAAATAAATGAACAACAGTTCAAACTGCCTGGTTAACTTTAATGTTTTCATAGTTCATGTGCATTTTATGTAGTTGTAAATATAATTATTTTTTCTTTGGCCACAGAACTTTTTATTACCCTTCCAATAATAGCAGTAAGGACCCTTGTGAAAAAAAATTTAAGCAAATTGTTACCATGGATGTGAGGTTGCTGCTTTAACTAAGTTAGACATCGTAGAAACCTTTTGCTTCAAGGGAGAATGACTTTTAGAATTTATTTCTAATTTTAATTATGGAATGGTATTAATTATGTTACTAACACATTTGTGGGATAATTTCAGATGTCCAGGGTGGATCTGATCATTATTTCCTCTGCATTATTGCCAGAGTCATCTCCACCCATTCCCTATTTTCGTTTGAAAATTGCAGTTATCATCTGTGGTTTGCAAAATTCACGATCAGTTTTTGTTACAGTGAAGACCTGCTCCTTGTCTGTTCATTACAGTTGGTAGGATCTCATTTTTATTTTCTTGTTATCGAAGCCATCTGAAAGCCAACTAAAATACTGTGTCCTGTGGTAGGAAAAATCAAATAACATTCAAAGAGACACCAAATTTCTAAGCATTGACTTGTATGTTAATCACAGTTCACTGTCCAGTGCTTGACTTGTGTTGCTGAAAAATCACCAACTCATTCATTCTTTAAGTTAAAATAGAACCAAGCACCCTGATGTGTGGGACATCAGCTGTTGTGTTCACCTTCAGCATCTCCGTGGTACCTTAGAGCCAGACTGTAACCTATTCTCACGCATGCGTATGTTACACTCTGTGTTCAGATACTTTATAGTCTTGAAGACCCGGCTGGCAATACAAATTGCATGACATTTATCCTGATAGGTCAGTGTCTGCTTTAAATAGAATTTCATATCTCCATATGAATGTTGGCATTATACAAGAAAACTGGCTAATTTTTTGTGTATCCTCTTGCCAGTAGGTTATAGGTCTAGTGCTAGAGAAAGTAAACCTGCAACGTTAACTGTGCCAGAGCAGCAGAGAGCCACCCATCACCGCTCCCGTTCCGTGTCTCCTCATCGCGGCGACGATCAGGGAAGGCCGCGTTCACGTTTACCAAATGTGCCATTACAGAGGTAGGCTTTGATGGGGGCTCAGCATCCCTGACCGTTCTTTTTTTCACTAGAACACAATGCAAACTGCCCCAAGACTCTAACTGAAAAGAAATCACTGTGTGGTCAGTTGATTACTGCTTTCAGAACGCTTTGTAGGCAGAATCCCTTTTTATCCCTTACCCAAGCTTTGCAACATTCTGTTCCTTAATCTCAAGAAATTTCACAGGGAGTGGAAAACATTTGTGTCACAAGCATCGTTTTTGAATAACTGTCTTATATTCCGTTTGCTACTTGTTTTTTTTTTTTCTCCTGCTGGGAGAAATTGTATGGTAAAGGAATCAGATCTGAGATGAGAAGTGGCCAGAAAGATAAGGTTAGAGGCAGAATGTATTTTTTTTTAATTTTCTGGGTAGTTTTTAATATTTTTAAATTTTCTTTATTATTTCTTAATTATTTATTTTTCCCCCTTAGCAGAGGCACTGAGGTTTGAACCCAGGATCTCATGCATGCCAGGCACAGGCTCTGCCACTGAGCTGTACCCACCGTGCCCCCAGAATTTTTGTTTTGTTCTTTTTTTTTTGGAGGGGGGAGGTAATTAGATGTATTTATTTATTTATTTATTTTTAATGAAGATACCGGGATTGAACCCAGGACCTCGTTACATGCTAGGCGTGCATTTTACCACTGAGTTACACCTTTCCTCTGCCCAAGGATGTATTTTTAAGAAATTTGGGATTGCCTCTTTGAAGCAGTATAAATGTTTGGAAAAGCACGTAACACATGTGTGATGTCATCCTCTATTTCATCTTACCCGGAGATACACTTTGGAAATTTTAATTAAATCTGCAGATGAAAATCGTGGTCCTTTTTTGAATGAGCTGCCAAAGGAGGTTGGCGACATGCAGCGCAGGCAAAGCAACGGTAGGGAATAAATACGAGTAGAACAGGTGTTTGGTGACAAGGCCAGCGCTCTCCCAGCCATGTCCGCTGTCTGCCAGTCACTGTCCATTCTCTCCTGTTAGCGCATCAGCCTGTTTGGGGAAGCTGATACACTTTGATGCATGTGAATTTTTGTAAATCATTTCAGGAGTTTAGATGAAATTCATCCCACGAGAAGGTCACGTTCTCCAACCAGACACCACGATGCCTCCCGCAGCCCGGTGGATCACAGACCCCGAGATGCGGATAGTCAGTATTTGTCAGAACAAGACAGGTATTTGTTCCGTTCTGATCTCAGCGTTATACGTTCGTCTTGGCTCTGTTTTCACACGTGAATGATAGCTTGGCATAGTACCTTAGAGAGTAACAGTGTTTCATTGTTCAAAACTGAACTTCTCCTGAGGAATGACTGTAAAGGTATTCTAACAGAAGTGCGACTCTGGGAAATGTCTGACTAATGTTATGTGCTCATAATATGTGCATCTTTTTTTACAAAATCAAAATTTATGCCTGACCAGTTTTCAATGTATACCTTGTTGTTGGCTTAGATACTAAGTTAAATTACAGAAAAGGGGCTCCATAATCCATTGTCAAACATTTTCTATTTTACGGGTTGCAGTCTTGGGGACTAGTATTTATATAATTATAAAATTATGTTTTTTAGGTAATAAAAAGTTTCAGGACACAGGTCATCTGAAAGAGTTAATATTACAGAGCTTCTGTGAGAACTTCAATAATAGTATTTTTTCGTACACCGACTTTTCATAAAATGTATTCACCTAAAATATTGATAAAAGTAACAAAATGTTGAAATGGATTCTTCGGTGGATGTGTACTTAGGTTTAGTGCTGCGCTGATTTGTGAACAAGTGACTTCCTGGACACAATGACTCAGAATCTCCATTAGGTCTCTGTTCTCTGTGCCCACAGACCAACCACGTCCCTGTATAACATACCTGACCACAAGCTTAGGATCTGATAAGGGGTTTTTCAAATAGCCACCTCATGGAAGAGTTTCTTCTGGCTTTTTGAAGGGGAGAAACTTTCAGGGAGGAGTAAGGGGATGACGTGGTACTCAGTGATTGATTTTTTTGCTGTATAGCCAGGGACACAGTGTTTCTTCCTTCCCTAGTTGTCACCCTGATGTGGCGGGAGGGTGGGCACCATGACCTTCAAGACAGTGGAGTTGTGGTGCTTCCTGGGACAGAGTCTCGCTCTGGGGAATAGGAGTCCACCATGCTTGGGTTGAGTTGAGTGAGGGCCTCTTGGTCAACATTCAGTGGGGCCACCATGAATTTAGGTGAGGAGCTAAAAAATGTGTATATATGACTTCTTAACCAGGGCATTCAATACAGCAAATGAATTTGAGTGTAGGAAAAAGATCAATTTGAAGATAAAACATTCCTCATCAAGTATGTTCTTAGTTGGTAAAGGAAAAGCATAATATAGGTTGTTGCAGTTTTAGTGGCTGTGAAAGCCAAGAAAACAGTCATGCTTTGAGTGGCTAAAAAGAAATAACATTTTAGGGCCCCCGTCAGTATCGGAAAGGCCAGATGCCTTTTAAAATTTATGAAGAGACCCAAGTGTCTAGAATTGGAAACTGGGCTCTATGTCGTATTTGGGGAAGGTTCAGTTCAGTTCAGTTTCGTCTTAATACTCTAAAAAAATCACCGTGAACTACGGTAGCACATCAGCACCAGCTAGCACTTTGACCATGATGTTTGTACTTGATGGTTGGTATTTTTCAAACGACTGTCATGTTTATTTTTGTTGAACCTCTCAAAGCAAATACGCTAGTGCAGACAATCTGGTTTCTTCCCTTTTCATGTTGCCATCGGCATCCCATCGGCGCCCCCCCTGTCATGTACCACCTCATCACTCCCCTGTTTCACTCGCCACCCATCCTGTCTGTGAAGTGAGCTTCTCATGCTTCCCAGAGCAAAACGAGGACGGAGTGCAGAATGCCTACACACCACCAGGTAAACAAGGGGCTTGCTGATGGTGACTGTCTGTGCTGAACTTCCCTCCTACTCGACTGCCCTGTCTCCCCCAGTGCTCGCATCACACACGTGAGATCAATTTCCCCAGCATCCAAAAACGGTCCTGTTTGAGGTGGGGGTTGTGGAAAAGGTTGCATATGTCTTTGAATTCTGTTCCAAGCAGACTGCTTTTCTACCTGTCTCTTTAAAATCTAGAGACAGGTGAGCCTCCGTGGAACTGTTTCCATGTTCCTAAACACAGAGGAACTGATTTCTGCAATTCAAATTCGAAATGCTCCCGGTCAGTGGCCACCCCCTTACCCCGACCCCGCCATACACACACACACACACACACACACCTGTCTAGTCACCAGAGGTCTGAGCTGCTGTGCATGGCAGGTTATTGTTTTCATGATTTTAAGTTTTGCTTTGTTTTAGCCTTTTTAAATTTCCTTTCGGAGTCTACTGTTGTTTTTATTCTGTTTGCTTGAGATTCTTTTTTTTTTTTAATTCACTTTTGGGTTTGGTTTTTTTTTTTTTGTGAAGAGGAGATAGGTTTATTTAGTTATTTATTTATATTTTTTAAGGGAGATACTGGGGATTGAACCCAGGACCTTGTGCATGCTAAGTACTTATTCTACCACTGAGCTATAACCTCCCTGTTCTGTTTGCTGTTATTCAGAGCTTTACTGGTTCATTTTTAATAGTTGAAAATCAGCTTCCTTCCTGATAAAGAATGAGGATGTTTGCCCTGTTAATACCTAAACCCTCCCTTCCTTCATGCCCCGTACCCCTCAGGTCAGAAATGCCACAGGACAGACTTTCTCAGAAAGCCATGTAACAATACGATGCTTCTTGAAAGATGAGACAGAAAGAGGAAATAATATTCTCCTCTAAATTGGAGCTTAGGACCTAATGCTTTATTTCCATCTAATTCCATCTGAGATCTTGTATCCCAAATAAATCCTCTTGCAAATTACTCAGAGAACTCAGTCTGTGCAGGTTCCTTGTCCATGCGGACTTCATAGAAGGAAAAACAAATCAACACACAGATAAACTCTTTTGGATATTTTGGCCAATAAAACGTCAATAAGAAAGAGAAAGAATGAGCCACCCCTGGAAACCCTGCGGTACAGGGAAAGATACAGGGCTTCTTGCATCTATGTGGACACGTGCTCCTGCTCAGGAATCCAACGTGCTAATAAGAACGAACTTTTCACACGTAGAAAGCAGTCCTGGTGTCAATTACTGCAGTTGCCACAGGGAAAAAGAGGAATGTCAGTTCCATTTGCAAACTGGGGGAAAATACATAAAATCATAACCATTGTAAAAATCAGCTCAAATCCTTTACGATCTAAGGCCTCCAGCCTTAGTATTCGTTGTCCTGACAAACGGGGAAGAGGAATGATTTGTTTAGATTCAGAAAGTTGTTGTGACTACAACTATAAAACAAAAACAAAACAAAACTTGATATTCATCAGGCACCTGGTATGTCCCTGGCCCTCAGTGTGTGCATGTTTTGAACATACCACCCCAGTCATCTAAATAGAATCACTAAATAATACTGTTTTTCTTTCCCTTCTATTCTACTTCTCAAGGTAAATTACCAGGACATGCACAATATAATAAGCTAGTAGTTTCATCATTTTGTGCAGTCTTACCTTCAGAATCCATCCTGTCATTCTTATATTCACGTAGGACTTTTAAGAATAAAATCTGTGGATTTACTACTTTCCAATAAAACAAGGAAAGTAACATTCATTGAGTACCAAGCACAGAGTTAATCATTTCATGTATTTTATCTCAACTTTCTGACAATAACTGTATGATATGAATATTATCATCCTCATTTTCCAGATGAGGAAAGATGCTCAGAAAGTTTAATTTGATAGGTAACAGAGCAAGGATTCAAAGTCAGGTCTCTTTGATGTTTCCCATTAAATTAATTCTTCCAAAAATGTATTTCTAAGGAGCTGGTCCTGTGCAAAGTTCGACCCATAAAAGAGCTTCTGAGTCAAACAGATTTTTGGAGACTTTGCAAATGAATTAGCCACTCCCTGGAGATTTTCTTTGCACAGCATATGAAAGTCCTGTGCTAAAGGAATCTGTCTCCTATTATTTAATTCATTTTCCTCCTCATGATTATCATCATCAAATGCTGTTTTTAGTACATGTCCTGAGAAAGTGGTGTTGTACAGAAGATGCTGTGGCTGCCTTCCTACATCCTAGATATTCTGTACCTGTGTCTCATTTAACCCTCACAGCATCCCTGTTAAGGATCATTATTTCCTCCAGATCTGGATGTAGAAAAAGACGTGACTTGAATTACCCAGGCTATAGCCAATAAATGGCAAAGCCAAGACAGGAACGTGGACCTTCATACTATAAACTGCGTGCTCTTTCCCCTGTTTCCTGTTCTATGCTGACCCCAATTAGAGTGTTTCCAAAAGAAAATCACGTTTGAACCAATTGTTTAGAAAAGTTACAGAGCAGCCTTTTGCTGAAGATGGCTGCCGAAGCTTAGGAGTTGAACTTACTGTCTGGAAAGCAGACTGAATCCTTTGCTTCACTGAAGACGTCCTCCATCTGTGCTCAGATATGGCACTCATTTTTAAACCAAAGCTTTAAAAGATTCCCTGATTCAACCATTACTATAAACACGAGTGAACCCGTGGGGTATTTGAGTCTTTGTATGTCCTCCGCAAATGTTTATTCCTTTCCCAATTTATCATGCTATAATGTAAGCCAAAATGGACAGTAGATTTTCATTATCAACAGCTCAGTTTGTGGAGACATTATTAAATTATCAAAAAATTAATTGACAGGACCTGCCTTGCCCTTGGTGGCACAGACAGCCCAGGAGCCCACATAGGCCCTAAAGGAATTCAGAGGATGCCGGGCCTCGTGTCTGCCACCTTCTGCCAGATCAGAATTCATATTCTGGTTCATAGCCAATGCCCTTCTCACCCAAGTTTTGATGATTAACGTTACCTGATGTTGGGTCTGTATTCAGAAGCTGATCAGTGGAAAGAACTCACTCCCCGGCAGGCACCCCTTCACCATGGTTGGTACCAGCATCAGCCTCAGCCCTGCAACGCTGGCCCACATTTTGCTTGTTACTAGAATGTTAACTTCTAGTCACATTTTAATTCCCTGATTACATAAATCATTTGAATCACACTCTTAGCTATGTGTTGTTCCTTCCATAGAAGCAGGTATGATATTAAATCAGGGATCAAATAATGAATTTCATGTTGGTTAATTTATCACCTGCAGTTAGCAGCTTTTTTTTTCTGATGAAGGCTAGGAAACTTTTGAATCTTTATCTTAACTGAAAACATGTCTGTGATTTCATATTTAATCGTTCTAATCCGACCTCTTTATTGTGGTTCTTCTGAGAGAAAAAAAAAAGCAAAAGCTCCATCTGTATTTGTAGCTTTATAGCTTCCTGCTTTTTTCATATCCTAATCAGATTTGCTTCCTATATATTTTTCTGTTTCCTGCGTGTCTGTGTTGCCACGTCCAGACATCTTGTTAGGCGCTATAAAACATTACCGCCCAAGATGCCTTTATTAGAGAACTGTTCTCACTGGAATATTTACAGGTAAGAGTCTTAACAGTGAGCCCCAGTTATAAACTAACCCCTAATCCCTTCCCTACTAAAAATAACGATTTACATTCCAATAGAGCATTAGCATCTCCTCTTAAAATTAATTATACACAGAGAAACATTCATGATGTCTAAAAATAGTTTTAATTATAAAACCTCATCTAGAATATTAATTATAAAAGCTAGTGTAGAACATCTAAGTGGAATCTCCTCACTCAAAGACCAGACTTCTAGCTGTTGTCTTCTTTGTCGTCTATTTGTTGTTTCACTTGTTGATTTTCATTACAATGATTAATTTTATATTATTTTATTTCTGGATGATTTTGCTTTGTGAAGCTCAGTTCTGCCTGCACGTACTAACAGCAAAGCAGTGACTAGACAGGACTCTCCCCTTCATCAGTGCTTTCCCTCGAGAGTACTGAGATTTACCAATGAAATATCGGTTGGGTAAGAACGTTTGGAAGTCGTTCCTTCCACTTCCCTCGTCTGGTGTTGTGAACCAAAGCAGTCGAGCCATATGACTCTTCTCCTCTGCTGTCCTTCATTTTGTTTTGGTGTGGCATCCGTTCTCGGTAACGAAGTTCTAGGCATTTTGTTTTAGTGCTTTCCGTGATCCAGTTTTATTTTATGTTTCTTCTGTTTATTTCATACCTAGTGATTTAGTCTCATTTTTTTTTCAGTCTGAGACCCTTTTAAAAATGAAATTATGCAAAGCCATCCAAGCATAATCTTTGTTTAGTTTCATGTTCTAAACAAACGTCAGCACTGTCTGCCTGTCAGCCCTCTCCCACCCCGATGAACCGAACCGCAGGGATTCTGCACGTTGTGGAAAGGGGGCAGGACTGTATGCTTGACTCTAACACGGTCTTCCTTTCTCTGTTTTCTCTGTCTTTCTCTTCTACCCCTGGATGCATGCACTAGTGACCTGCAACCCTCCCTTGACAGGGCTAGGAGTGCTAGCACCAACTGCTTGAGACCAGACACTAGTTTGCATTCACCAGAACGAGAAAGGTATACAATAAAGACTTTCTTAATTTCCTGTCATTTTGTACTGGTGCCTTTTTTTTTCTCTTTCTACCCAATCACTTTGTGTTGTCTCATGTGAGTCTCCCAGGTGTGTTCATCTGCGTCCACTTTGCTGACTGTCAACATCTCTGCTCACCCCGCCCCGCGCCCTTACTGTGCACATCTGCGTAGAGATATGTGTACGTGGATGCGCCCGAGGGGACACATACACATATTTCCATGGATGTTGCTGCACACGGTGTGCTGTGATTTGTAACTGCTTTTGGCTGCCGCTCCTCCCTTTGGTTGCTGTTCAGCGGTTTTATTTACACCCGCTCAGGGAGCCCTCAGTATGCTGATATTGTCGGAAGGTCCAGTGAGTAATCTGAAAGGGGTGATCACTTTCCTGTTAGTTCCACCGATAAATAGTCTTTGTAAGTTTAACAACAATCTTCCATAAGCTCAAAATGCTCATTTGATTTAAACAGAGTACTTCCCTTGTGCATCTGTATTCATTTTTTAATCAACTTCCTCTTTGGTCTAGATCACGTTATGCGTTAAATTATATTTTGACAACCCAAGAGTGGTATATTTATCACAGATTTTCTGGTGCCTTACAAAAATAAATGCACATTTTATACACCCATATATAATTTTGCTTAAGGCTTTTAAATGATTAATAAATAATTCTTATTTTAATGTGAAAGTATTCCATGATTATGTATTATTCTCTCCTAATTTTGAGCAGCTAATTTTTCCATTGTGCTGGAACTTTCTATTCCAGCAAACTTGGTTATAATGAGTAGTCTGTTATGATTGTTATCTCTTTTCGATTAGAAGTCATTCGCTGGAAATATGCATGCTACCGCCTTACAAATCCTGAAGAAAAACATTCAGTTGCGCTAATGTAACCTACTTTTCCTCTTCTTCAAAGGCTGCTTAAAGCTTTTCTTTAGCAGTCTCTCTAGTCTGAGTCAATTCATTTATTTATGAGATGTTTATTTCTAGATTTGAGTAATAGGTACAGGTAGGCATACTCATGTTTAGTGTCTTCATTAAAATCTACTAAAAAAATCTACAAATGTACAAAAATGTACAATTTAATTTTCTCTTATATTTGCAAAATTTGTAAGAAAACAATGGAGTCTAACTTATATTTTGTATTCCTTTACATTTATAATAGAAATTTTGATTGACATGACTACAGTCTCTTCTAAAATCACAATGGAAATTGTTTCATTATTCTCTTTTATTACATATCCCCCCCAAAAAAAATTAATACAAGAGTAGCAAGAAACATACTTTTCCATTTTTTTTTTTAGTTTTTATTATTTCTTTAGATGTCTCTGGTCAGAATTGTAAGGATAGAATTGCTCAAGTCAGTGGAATCTTGTGACTATAACACCACCCTGACATTCTGAATAGCATCTAGATTGATACTGTCTAGCAGAAATGTAATTTGAGCCACATGCATAATTTTAAATTTTCTGCTTGCCATGTTAAAAAAGGGAGATCAACGTTAAAACTTTAGTAGATATCTGAAATACTACCATTTTAACATCTAGTCAGTTAACACCTGTTAGCGAGACCTTTTGCATTCCTTTTGTCACAGTGCCTGGTCTGTGACTGCCATATTGGACAGCACAATTTTATCCTTATACCGAAGCCCACTTGGCATGTGTTTTCTTGTTACGCTGAGACCATAGAGCTCACAAATCTGTGCATTGGTGAATTTAATCTCTCAGATAGCACTCTTCAAACAGGTCAGCCTGCAGACAGTCTGACCACAGTTATTTTACGGGTCATAGTGAAGGCTGAGTACTCTTCGATAGAAGAAGAAAAAATATGATCGAGACCTATATTCACTCTGTGTATTGAATAACAAGAAATGTTGCCCTTAAAAAATGACAGAGGACAGGGATTCGTGTTATGAATGATCTTTAATTTGTTGGGGTCACTTTCTTGTCAAGAAGGAAATAAAGTGAGAGAAGTTTTCATCAGGACAATTGCATGAGCTGTAGTTGCCCTCTTGTGCACACACCTCTGGGCGGCTTTGAGACAGGACGTAACAGGATGGGGACTTTGTTCTCTTTGGAAGGTGCACCTAGAAGTCCCCAGACAGAACATGAAGTGAGTAGGAAGAGGGAAGCTTCAGGAGTTTCCCAGATTACTTAATTTTTCTGGTTGACCGGAGAGCTGCTTAATGCCTGATATTTACATAGTAGATAAAATGTTAGAGAAAAGGTGTTAAAAACGTTATTTCTTCTTCTTGAAGTAGTCACATATTTCCACAGCCTCTAACCTATTAGAATTAAACCATTTGCTGATTCTGAACCATTTGGATGAACATTTATATGCTTTACATATAACTACTTAATGCCTTTTTTGAAGTATCCTCACTAACTTTTAAAGCAGACCAAGTTCTGTGTTGATACACTAGGAATGAAATCATTAAAGCAGACTCAGTCCCCAACACCACACTCACTAGTGACTCCAGGATAAAGGAGCGCCAGGCGTGGGTAGTATATTCTTTTCCCGAAGGATTCTAAAACCACCAGAGCCCCCTTTTCTCCCCCATTAGGGTGACTTGGTCCAGGTTAACAGATGAATATTGAGAGGGGCCCGTGTTGGAAGCCCTGTTTGCAAAGGAAGTCAGTTCCATGTTTGAGCCCCTCCATCATGTTCTTTTGATGACACAGATAGCAAAAATCGTTAGTAGTAACCCAATCCAGTCATGGCCCGTTAAGTCAAGAAATGTTGGGTTTATTGATAGTGGGAGATCTAGAAAGACCAGTTCATCCTACTGAAGACATCTGTCGGATGAGGACTCTTTCTCTTTTATCCTTTCACTAGCAAGTACCCCTGCCTGTTTCTGAGGAGGTCTAGTCAAGGTCATTGTACTTTCCTTCCTCCATATCAGGGTCAGCGTGAGGGCATCAGTCCCCTTTCTGTTCCCTGTTGGGGAAGGAGTGAGTGACAGCCTGTTGTTAACCTATCCTCTCCCAGGTTTTAAAACAGAATCTTGTTTAAATGTCGAGAAACTCTGATTTTTAAAGCCACAGAAGAATGATTGCTTTCCTTGGATGTGATGTCTTCTCCCCTGACCCTTTAGGGAAATCATAGCTCTACTAAAGGCTCACCAAAGAGTAGTCTACACTTACTGCCTCCGTTTTTTACTTCCCGGTGAACCCTGCAACCTGATGCCTACTCCCTCCCACTGCCCCACCACTGTGCTAAAACCCCACCACCAAGGACACAACTCCCTAATCATCCAGAAGCATCTTACAACCTTTTACATTCACCACCCTGCCTCCTGAACCTCTCCTTTCTTAAGCGCCCTCTGCAAGTCTCCTGGTGCCTCTGTGCTGCGACAGCCTCCTTCAGCAGGCTTCCTTCCCCTAGGCCCCTGTCTCATAAAACATGCATTCTCTTACCTTCATCCTCAGTTTTCATCCTCTGACGAAACTTATTCCACCTCTGAAATTATATTGCTATCAAAAGTTCCCACTCTTTATGTAATGAGGACCTCACACCACTGTCACTGACCAGGTCAGAACTTCGCTGCAAACTCGTTTTAAATTTCTAGGTGCTTTCCAAACCCCGTGTACATCTATGTGTCTGAATCACATTCACTGTCTCCCCTTGCATCCTTTTTCAGCAAAGTGCTTTCTCTTCCTCAGTTTCCCCCTGGTTGGGTGGCTTTGACATGTAACTGCCCACGTAATCGGGAAGCATGTCTCCTTCTCATTCAATGAGACAGTAAATCCTCTCGCTTTTCCTTTGAGAATCTCCTAAGAAACGATCCCTCCCCTTGACGATGCTCTCACCCTCCCCACTTCCGGTGTCCCTCTCACCCGGTTAATTTCTCATGAGCTCTGTTCATCGTCTTTATTAGTTTTTGTCTCAAGTTTTCTTTCTCTTAAAGTACCCTCTTTCCTTTGTTGTCTGCCTAAAAATTCTACTCATTCTTCAAAAAGGGAGGTCAAATAACTGTATCTTTTGCAAGCTTTTCTTAACCTCTCCCCCTGACTCCCCCACATGCTTCCTTTTTTTTTTTCCTCCCACTTAGAATTATTCACTTTCTTTTCTGGGCCCAGGTAACGCTGTATGTGTCTATTAAAACCCACTGTATCTTACTTAGTCATGTGTTTCTTCCACTGTATTGTACTCCTTGAGGGCAGCGATCACACCCGATTCATCCCTGCTGCCTCCTTTGATAGCATTATTATTTTTTACTTAGTAAATGCTCAGTTTGGGGACTTAGGGGGGGACTTAAAAACACCCCTGTTTTCTGCCCCCCAGTTTGTGTCTGATTGTGAACTGGAAGGTGGGAGCTCTAGTTACCACCATAAACATAATGAACAGGGTCAGGAGCTACGACCTCAGGTCTGAAGGCTCGCTGATCACTCCCTGCACCATCAGCCAAGTTTTCTGAACCTCCAGAGGCTCCTCCCACAGGCTCAGGCCTCCATCTAAAGGCTGTTTTATCGGTTGATTTGCCGCAGTGTTGGCTGTTTGCCAGCAGACTGATTTGGAGGAAGGACTCCGGAAAGGACTAAATCACCTGTGCTTGATTCTTTTAACAGAGTCCCCACTCCTCCTTCTGTGGGGTGGAGAGAGGGGCAGGAAGCGTGACTTAAAGGGATTTCCCTCCACTTGGAAATGCGAGGCCTAAGAGAATGTCAGTTCCTCCCTAAAACTTAACAGTGTGAATCTTATTGAAATAAATAAACCTTATTTCAAAGTATAAGTACCCACATTAATTTCAATTTAAAATAGTATTATGGAAAATGTTTTAAAGGAGTAAATGAATAGTGGGAGTAGACAGTGAAGACACATACAATGTGATCACTTCTCTCCTCTGTTCGGGCTTGGTTTCCAATATTACAGTACTTCCTCAAATATGTTACTTTTTCTTTACTCGTGCTGCTTATGGAATGAATGATTTACACTTCGTGTAAGTTCTCTTTTGAATAATTTAGCTGCTTAGGCATGTTCTGCCAGGAGAAATGCACCATTGAAAGGTGTGTACATTTGCAAACACATATGCTAATTACACATTTAAACACACACATTTGTTTTAAGGTGTATCAATGCCTGGGTAAAAGTCACAACGTAGGAACCATTGAATTGCTTACTGAGGACCCTTAATTCTGGTTCCTTTGTATCTCATCGGTGGTCTTGTCCCCACCGTTGATTTATTAGTTAAGTTTCTCATTATTTCTTACCAGTAGTACCCCAAATCTTACCTCCTTATTATCTACTTAAATATTTACGAATATTTATTGATCACTTATTCTGTGTGGGCATAGCTGATGTAACTGACAAAACAAAAAACAAAACAAAACCGTTCCCTTATTCAGGGAGCCCACAACCCGTCGGTGAATCCCACAGCCATCAGCGACCTTTTCCTCCTGTTTTGAGCACAGGGGAAGGGCTGGGCTCCCAACAAGTAGATGTTCCTGAATGAATGCATTTAGAATACCTGACATTAGAGTACTAATAATGCAACTAGCTACTGTAACTTGCAAGATGGTTTGGAAAGAGAAATCAAGAAAGGGTTGTTTTAATTCAACTTCATGGTCAGTCCCACTAACACAGGCTCTCATGTTAGCTGGTGGCACAAAAATGGAAGGTAACACTGTGTGTTTTGCTCAGTAATAAGGGAATTAAGATTCTCCTTTGATCCCTTGCTTCTGTGTGAGAGGAGAAAAAGATAAAGAAGTTGCACCTGTTTTAAAAACATATGAAACACTAGTTTATTTAAATATCACAAATGCGTGATATTAAAACTTACATAATATCTGTTCTTTGGACAAAAGTTGGATGAAAATTGACCTTTCTCTCATGGTTTCCAAGATGTGAAAGAAAAGCAAACAGATTTCTTTCATTGGTACTACATATCAGCATATTGGGAAGCACTTTGAGCATGCAGGTGTGCCTGTATCATGCTAAATAATTCTTTTAAAGTTACGTTTGACTAGCTTGCATTCATAATGGCTTGTTTCTAAATGTACACCTTTCTCCTCCATAGCTTTTACTGCATGCTTCATAATTATAGCATTTTTCTTTAGTTTTTTTCTTTACTTTTGTGTTTCAGTAAACACAAGGACTGGAATTTTGCCTCAGGAAGCAAGGTTTCTCATAATCGTGGCAAATTAACATTACTCATTACCTGAAAACAATGTTTCAAGAAAAACACTTTAATTCTATATTTGTGTCTTCAAATAACACCATAAGTTTAATCATGACTGAGTATGATTTCATGTAGAAAACACTGGAAGTGTCATTGTTTTCATCTCTCTGAGAAATATTTTTTTCTTTAGCCTGTCTGCCAGTCAAGTGAAAAAACATACTTTAAAGCATTCCAAATGTATTGACCAACTGTTTAAATAATAGGCAATAATGAAATAATTTAGAATCAATGCACATGTTTTTAATTTCACACACATGTAACACATTCAAGAGGACATGCCACAGAGTTTTCTCTTCTGCCCAACTTTGGCCATTGAATATCTTTATTTGGTTCACTGCTCTCTCAAAGCCTGACATGACCCCTGCTGAGTCCATCCATCTGAAACTGATGAGGCACAAGCTCCCAGGGGACTTTTCAGAGTTGAGCACCTGCTGACGTCACAGATCCTGGTCACATGCTGATACTCCTTGGCTGTTTTTGTCCAGATCGTCCCATAAATCTACGAAGCCAAAGTTATTAATGGCAAAAAAGGATGGCTTCTTAAAAAACGTCAGGACGAATCTTCTTTAGAGTATCATAAAATCTTATAGTTATATCAGCCCTTTGGTACCATTTGGTTATCCCTTGTTGCATGTGCAGAAGCCCATATGCAGAGGAATTATCCTGCTGAGAATGTTCGTATCTAATATATTAAAATTTTCAAGTCCAGCTTATTCAGTCCCTTAATGCCTCTTTTCCGTATTTGACTGGATATTTGTAATTTATGCACAGACAGAATCTCAAGATTGTTTATCAAAGGCATGAACCAAGTTTCAAACTTTCATTTACCTGTTAATCCCCAGAACAGTATCATTGTAAATGCTGAAATAAGGAAACAACTGTTTGTCAACTGAAAGATACTTTTGCCAATAAAGATTGGCAGAATTTTTTAAAGGTGGTGCTTGTGACCGTGGCATTTTACCTGTATTTCCCACTTCTACCCATCAGTGTTTTGGACTCACAGTTTTTTAACTTCAGTTATTAACCCTGCAATTTTCCCCAAGAAAACTTAAGACTTTGCCAATAATATTTCCATGAATTATTTCTTCATGTTATTGTTTCTAGACTAAAGAGCATACTTCTTCCCTTCACTTAAACTGTGACCATATTTCTGCTTCGTATTAAATTCTCACACCTAATTTTTTGACACTTTAGCTGATAATTTCAAAGCCTTGCATCAAATCAGCATTGATAGCTTATTAAACCTATTTTATGCAGACATCATCCAGATTCTTAAGGAATCACTTTTTAAAGTTCTATACATGTTGGTGAGTGTGTGTAAATATGTCTACACACCCAAGCCCATTTAAAAGAACAAAAACTACACTTAATAGATTTCAAGCATCTTCCCAAATAAGTTGTGTTTCTCTAGTCTCATGTAAGGTTACAAGTTTTATTTTCTTACAATTTTATTGATCTTTCCAAGGCTTATAAAAATGAAGAGTGCGTGATGGAGCAAAGACTCTACACTTTGCCTTCTTGGGGTGCTTTTCCAGTCCTGTTGTTCCATATATTCTTTTATTTTAGGAGTTACTAAATGTCCTGTTTTTTCCTGTCTCGTTCATTGGGCAACCAGGGGTAGATGGTCCCCCTCCCTAGATAGGAGACGGCCTCGTAGCCCCAGGATTCAAATCCAGCATGCCTCTCCGGAGAATGACAGGTACTAGTCACCCCTTCCTCACAGACAAGTGGCCTCCAGGGGCTTGTAGGCCACCAAGTAAAGGGTAATAACTAACAGCAATGTGGTTATGACACCTTCCTTCCAGGGGCCACAGTCAAAGATGCTGTGATTCCAAAAGTAAATGCATCCACCTCTATCTGATAAAGCACCTCAGAATCTTTACTGAAATGAGGGTACCATGCACGTGGCATGGTTTAAACACAGTAAAGTCAGACCCAGCGGGAGAGTTCTGTCTTAACGTGCATTCGTTAAGTGTTTTGATATTCTGGAAACATATTTGACTCTTGTTTTTTTTTTGCACTTGAATAAGTTAAAATTCTCAGGTGCTTTAAAACATATTAAAAGTCTATCACAGAACCTGCTCTTTCTTACGTCGGTTGATGGTTTGATCTTGGTTGTCTCGTTTCGCTAATAATGACGTTTAGGCCTTGGGGTATGTTACCTGATTTAAGGTGGAATACCTGGTTCATATATATTTTATGCATAGTATCTTTGTGCCAAACGTTGTTAAGGGCTAGGGTAAATCAACAAGGTAGGTCTTTAAAAATACTATCAGAGCTTCGAATCAACTTCACGCTGTAATTCGGAAGTGCCACAATGTCTTTTTTCCATTGCTTTGTTTTTTGTCTCAGGTGCAGTTAACCCACTTCTCCTGTTTTATGGTGGTTATATATGGTCCATATCTTTAAATATCTTTTCCTAACCTGTCACAAAAAGTTCTGGGGTGTTTTGCCAGCTTTCCTTCTGGTCTAAGCAGAAATTCAATCAACACAATGTTTCCTGTTCCCCTACTGTGTGCAGTATTCTAACGGTGAGAGTCACAACGGTGTTTAAGTAAAGCACTGTCATGACCATCAAGGAATGTAGGATTTCCTTTTATGAAAGACAGCTCTGGGTTTCACCTTATGTAGTAGTGACTGCTAGAGTTTAAGACAGTTAAATAAGATGCTCTTTGTAATGAACATAAATGTAAGTTTATCTGGGTATAGACTAAGCAACATGGAAATCCAAATAGTAGTTTCAGTTCTTACATATGTGCAATGAAGATAGATTGAAAATTAGTTGCCTTTTAATGACAGATAAATCAATTATGATATTTGATTTCATAGATTCTGTATAATTTTAAAGGTAGATTTTAGAAGCAGAAATGGTCCTTTTAGGTGAGATTATTAACAGAAACTCTTCCTATTAACGTAATTCTGAACATTCATTTTGCTTTTCTACTGTGACTTATTTGTAAGTAAATTCTATGTTCAACCAAAGGAAGTACATTTTTACATGGCTTGATACTATGATTTATTACTGTAGGGAACAGAATATTATTTACATGAGCTTTTATTAAAATCCTAAGTGCCCATAAAAATGGGAGAGAGATTTCCACCACTCAGAGAGAGATTACTGCTCAAGTGATGCTTAATTCATAGGTAACCATGCCAACCATTTGGGAACACTTAACCCTTGCACTTCACCCCTTATTAGCTTTATTTACTTATTCAGAAGTTTCTACCAATTTGCAAATGAAGAGAACATGGCATCAGATTTGGAGACAGTGAATGTTCCTGAGAATCTGGGCATCAGGTGGCTTTTGCCCTAGGTCTGTAGTAGCTAAAAGAAATTGTAAAATCAATGACAACTTATATAGTCAGCCTTTGGACATCTCGTATCAAGGCATATTGGATTATTTTAAAAATAGCATAGTAATATAAAAAGTAAATTTTTACTTAAGAGAGCTTTTTAGTAAGTTGGAAAACATTGAATTGCTGTCTTATTTCTCATAATAGGCATGTGTACAAACACACACACACAATTTTTAATGTACCATTTCTTCATAATTTAATTTTAACTACAAGAAATCTTAATATCATCTCACATGATACCATAGCTTTATTTGGAATTAACATGGAAGCATGTTTATCTAGATCCAGGAATTTTCCTAGAAGTTGTAGGATTATTTAAAACAGTGATGAAGAAACAGTATATGAACTTGTAACCCCAGGGAATGTTTTTGACTTGAAAATTCTATGTTTTTAAGTTGAAAATTCTAGTGAAAGTTTTCTTGCAGTTTTATTACTAAAAATGTTGAAACTTATAAGAATCATCATTCTAATAACGAAGTATTTATTTGTAAATGACATTATTTCAATATATAAATAGTAACTTTTATGAACCTATGTGTACATAAGTCTGTTATAAATCTTAATAAAATGGAGATCTACTTGTGGCTTCAAACTAAGCAAAATTTGTGAGTAGTGGGAGTTAGAAAAAATGTATTTTAATAGACTCTCTGAAGTATCAAGGTTCTGAGTTTAGTGTTTACAATTAAATGAATCATCCCTAATTGTGAAAGGCAAGTATAAATTACTATTATTATTACTTTCATTATCATCTAATTCAATATTCTGCAAAGTATTTTTTCAAGAGAACTCCATATATCCTTTTTAATTTTTAAAAAAAGTTTTGATATTGACCGTTTTCTAATAAATATGAGGTGATAAAATATTTTCTTACTTAAAGTACATTTTCAGATGTGTTTTAATACTTTATTAGCTTAAACTTATTGACTCCAATGTTTTGATTAAGAATATTTTTGCATCTGAGTACATGATATTTTTAAGGATGCAATTTGTTGTTTTAACTTAAACATGGAAAATATTTGATAAAATAACCCAGTATTCCAGAATTTTAAATGGTTAGTGCAAGTAAAGTGTCCCACTGCATTTTAAATTAATTCCTGAATTATTCTGCTAATGTAGCTCTGATTTCTTTTGCAAATAACCAGATTTCTATAGTGTTCCACACTTGTCACTTGGAAGCAGCAGTATCCGGTGGTTTCTTTTTATTCAAAGTAGACAGATTCTTTCTACATTGAGAATATTTCTGGGATGAAGAAATCACCCACTTTTTCATTTCCAGATTTCATGACAGTTGTCACATAGATGTAGAGTTAATGTGGAATCACTTATGAATTCAGTGCATTACTAATCATTTTTGTTTGCTTCATAACATCCTTTCTTATCTGTGCTTTTCAGAAAAAGTCCTTTATTTGAATGAATGAAATGTAGCTATGTACTAAAATACTTAGTGAGTCTATTTAATGTCTATAGTCATATACATAAATGTCAATAATAAACAAAAGGGTAAATGTATCTTAATGGCCTGAACCCATCTCACTGCATACGGACATTTCTTATTTAGGTAGATTCTATCTAAATTTAATTTGTTTCTTCCTCAGCTTATGAGGAAGCAAGATGATAGAGGTCTGCATTTCACATTAAGCTGTCTCAGTAGTCAGCCAGGAGAGATACAGAAGTATTCTTATGATCATCAATGTTAATTATAATTAAAACATTATGTGGTAGTATTTATTACATTTTCCCCAAAACAAAACATAGCATATTTTCATTTTAGTAACATATTAATTTCACACTTTTAGAATTGTCTAAGATCTCCAGAAAAGTTGTCTTCACCAATGTCTTCAGGGAATTGCTCTAACTAAATTTAGTTATCGATGAGGAAAGAAAAAGAGCACAGAAACAGATTTTAACAGTTGCCTTTCTTTTCATTAGCACATTTTATGAGTCTTCATACATAAATAGAGAATAATAATTGAAAATGAAATACCAAGAAAATTTGATTTAATGTGGACACCCCCACTTGTGATTATTACTCTTGCTTCAGTTTAATAATACAGTAATTATTGTAATACCTTACATTGGAATGGACCTTTATAGATTTTAAGGAACTTTATTTGTGCCCTGTGAAAAAAGAAACATAAGGCCAAAATCATACAACTAGAAGTTGTGAAGTAAAGAAGAAACTCAGGATTTCTGATTCTTGCACGCCTAAACCAAAGAAATCTTCTTTATGAATAATAAAATAATAACATTTTAGGAGAACAGAAAACATGTTAAAACCCCAAGTAAATAAGATACGATGGAAATATGTAGCTCTGTTGTGTTTGTGTTTATCAAATGACCCCTCCAGTAAGCATGCAGTTGTTCAAGGTCACTAGATGGCAGAGTGGACAGAGAACACAGGACATGGGGACAGGAGGATGGTGTCCTCACCATCACTTAACCTCTCTGTGACTCATCTTCCTTGTCTGTAGACTTAGGTAGTTGTCGATAGACTAGCTGAATCCTATCCCTTTAGAATCTAAAACTGAGTCCACGCTGCCTTGTTGCATCATGATAAGCATCCATTAGACCAGTAATATTGACTGACACTTCGTTATGCATAAAGCGATAACTGAGGACATTTTTTATTTCTCGTATTTTATGTTTTACCAAAGACCAGAAAACATTGCAGAGTTTTATGTCTGAATTCATTTGATTTGATGTAAACTGAATTTTATAACCCTAGTTAAGTTTTTACATGTTAAAACTTTTTAGACTCTCGAGTTCCAGTATAATACTCAAAATACTACTTTTGAAGCCACCTTTTCAACAAATATTTATTGAGAAGCTACTCTGTGCTGGGTATTGCTGTTAACAGTCATGACCCAAACAGACACAGTTCCTGACCATAAGGAACTTAGGAGAGACTCTTGTAAGGTAGAAGGTAATTCATTCCACTCTGTTCATTTTATGACTACATGATCAGTAGCTTTAGTAGTATCATACATGAACATAAATTGACTGTTCTAACCTTTCCTATTTTACACATATTATAAACTCTATTCCAAGAAAGAGCTGTATTTAAAATATACAGTACAAGGGGGAAGGTATAGCTCAGTGGTAGACTGCATGCTTAGCATGCACAAGGTCTTGGGTTCAAGCCCCAGTACCTCCATTAAATAAATAGATAAATAAACCTAATTACCTCCCCCCTCCAAATTAATTTTTAAAATGCGTTATATTCATAACTATAACTTAGGATTTGGAGTAGAAGAGACAGAATTTTCTATTTTCTCCTCTATTTTTGCTTTACACTGAATTATTACAATTAACTGTATGTCATTTTAATTCAATTTGAGGATTCTTTTAAGTGGTTAGAAGAATTATAAGGGCATGTCGTTTGTAGAAAACTCTAGAAGAATCTTCAGTAAAATAAGTTTCTATGGCATTTGAAGAGAAAAATCGGGGGACACCCTTAATAAGAAGATTAAAAACAAAAAACAGAAGTTAGATGTATTAACTTCTACATGAATATCTGTCATCCAGTCATGGGCACTGACTGAGTTTGATCCTCTTTGAGTTATTCATGTTTGAGTTTGATGAATAAGAGTCTTTACCTTCAAGAAACAAATATATATGATTATCATTTTAAATAATACTTTTATAGCATTTTTCTCTTGCTAGTCTAAGTAATGCTAAAACCACTCCAAGTCCTTATTTATGTAATAAAACAAACACTGAAAATACTAATTAATATTGAAATGGAATTAGCAAGTCTGAGAGGTGGTAGTGTTTGTCTTGCCACTTTGCAGATGGGAAAAACTGAGGCACAGAGAGGTTACATAACTTAACTGAAATCACCCGGCTAGTCAGAAGCAGAATGGAGCTCAAGCCTACACTGACTCTAAAATCCATGCTGTTAGCCACTGTGTTCCAGTGTCATTTTTGCCAAAGATATAATGCATTCAACAGTATTGAGATCATGGACTCTTGAGTTTGTCTCATAGGTTAACATGTAAGGACTGTGTGAGTTGGAGCAAATTACTTAACCTCTCTAAGCCTCAATCTCCTTGCTGTTAAAAAGAATGAAAGAGTAGGACCTTCCTCATTGAATGGGTGAACTTCGATGAGATAATGCAGCAAGTTCTTAGTACATGCTAGATATTTGTGTCATAATGGTTGTCATCGTGACCATCATCAGTTCCTGTGATAATCAGTCTACTGTATGAATCCATTAAGTTTTAGGGATGAGAAGAGGGAGAGTTGAAGGTTTTATAGAAGAAATAACATCTCTGTTGGGTCTAGACAAATGACTAGAAATTACAAGGGGTAGGAGAGAAGCAGACACATTCTAAAAGATGTCTGTCACCCTTTCGTCGTGCAGAGGTGGCACACTGGTACCAAGACCCACCAGATTCCACACACCCCTTGCCCTCCACCCTCAGACTCTCGTCCCCTGCCTCTGCTCTCTCCACACTTTCCTTTCTGGTCTGCTTCCTGTCGCCTGAACCTCCCAGAGCATCCTACTTGAACCTGCAGTCTGCACCTGTCCCCCACCCCCTGGCCCTCCCCTACATTTCTGAGCCTCCTTGTCCCAGTTTACTTACTGCTATTGTCGTTAACATTTATCACCTTCTAACATGTTGTATGCTTTACTTCGTTGAGGGTTTTTGGTTGTTTGTGCTTATTGTTTGCCTTCTACCAATAAAATACAAATGGCTTGAAGGCAGAAATCTTGGTCTGTTTTGTTCACAGACATAGTCCAAGCACCAGAACAGACAGATACATGCTCAACAGATACATGCAAAATGAATGAATGAATGAATGAATGAATGAATGAATGAGTGAAAACCCTCTGTGACAGTGAGTTTCATGAATTGGCCTGACTCTGAGTTCTCCTTTGGCTCTTGCTTTTCTGAAGATGAGAAAAAGGATCTGGGTTCTCCCAGTCTCTGAGCACACTTGGGGCCAAGCATAAATTTCTGCAAACGATAGACTACTTTTTTTTGGAGCTCACATCCCTCCTGGGCCTGCAGACTTTCTTCCTCTGCCCCTCTCCTCCCCTCCCTGGGGCTCCTTCTACTCCCTAGATGCCTTCCTTCCCTTTGCTTCAGGAATTTTTGTCCCCTCCCAACAACCATCCCCCGCTGACTGCAGGTTTGTGCTAAATCCTGTTCTGCTCTTTCCCACCCTGTGGTCCTCTGTCCCAGCCATGCAGTCAACAAAGTAAATGAGAACTATCCCCCGTAGCATCTTAGAGAGGCTCTCCTAGTGCTCCCCCGCCTGTGCCAGATGCCCTGGTCTCTTCCCTTCCTGAACAAGGGTGCATCCAGAGGGTGTGCGTCAGAATCAACCTCCTTCATTCTCTTTGCTGGACAGAAACAGCTCAGGAGCCAGACACACTGACATTCTGGTCCCAGCTCTGCCTCTTGCTGACTGTGTGGCCCTGCCCTGAGCCCGTGTCCTCATCTGTGAAATGAAGGTGGCACCTTCTGAAAGGATCCTTGGGAAGCGAAAATAAGGCAACGCCTCCCTCAGTCCCCGGCACAGGGTTTTCTTGAATATCCTATTTTCTGACCAGGAAAGGGAAGTGATGAAGGAGAGACAGCCCCCTCCACTGTCCCTTCAATTTTTTCACCTCCTCCAGAGTGAGATGTCAGAGTAACAGAAGACTGAAAAACAGAAAGCGGAACCCAGATTCTAAACCCAGATTCTGAGTTTGAGGGGCAGAATAGTGTGAGCTTACTTTTTGGCAACTGTGAGAGAGGCAGGGAGGGAGAAGCGTCCCCAGAATTGCCCTGTGAGGGTGGACTTTGTACTTTCATCCGCATCTCTGTGCTGCACGGGACTGCACGCTCAGAATATGTAACATTAATAAGTAAGAAGAATGAAGATAAGAGAGTAGATCTTAAAAGTTCTCATCACAGGGAAAAACAGTTCCTAAGTTGTGAGGCGATAGATGTTGCCTGGGCTTACTGGGGTGACAACTTTGCAGTATATGTAAATATTGAATCATTATGTTGTACACCTGAAATTAATGTACTGTTGTGTGTCAATAACATCTCAAAAAAAAAAAAAACACACAGCTTTCTCCTTGACATTGTTGGAAGAAAGCAGTATCAGAAAAGAAAAATAAGGATGAACTGTAAATAATCAATTATTGAGATAAAAATATATTAATTTTTATGGTTTCTCATTTTTTTTGAGTAAGTGTGACTTTCTTGATCACAAAATTTTTAAATTTATTTCAAATAGATAATAGTCCAGACACATTTTAGGCTAAATAGGCTTATGTAAGCAACCTTGGGGAAGTAAACTCTATGCATAAACATTATTTCTATGGGAAAATGCATTTCAAGTTTTGAATATTCAATACACATGCGTACTTCTAGAATGTGGAATAAGTTGGGAACTTAATTCTTTGATTTGTGATCGATGATTAGCTTTTTAAAATGCTGCAAAAGTACCTTTACGATAATTTTTAAAAATAATTTGAACAGTTGATTTTTAAATACTTTTATTTATGTCCAACACATTTTGCTGTAGCCTTTTTCTTCTCTTCATAATTTTATGGGAGAAAAAAAGAACAAAAAGCAAAGGGAAAACTCTTCGGAGCACCCAGTTTCAGCCTGTAAAAGCGGAGGACACGTCACCCATTTGTGGTCTTCACCACCTCACCCATGGCAGTCATCACATTTACCATCACCGCGTTTCACCAGTTTGATCATCAAGTTTGTCTGCTCCTCGGGGGAGGCGCGGTGGTCAGCAGGAGTCCCCGTGAAATCACAAGTGTAGACTCACTTGTCTAGACTGACGGGATGTCAGCTTCTTGTGCCTCCTGGTCTTCCACACAGCATCAGTCCTGATTTTTATTTTAATTTTATTTGAAAATAGTCGGTAAAAATAGTTGCCGTTTTTCACATCTATTGCTTTTTATCATTGTATGAGATGACTGTAGCTTTATTCATCATATATTTTGTATTTCTTTAACATCTCATCCCACAGGCACTCCAGAAAGTCTGAAAGATCTAGCACCCAAAAACAGACTAGGAAAGGCACTGCCTCTGATGCAGAAAGGTAGGCTTGTCGTGCCGTGCCACATCTTCCGTTTCACTGACGCATTCTGGGGCGCCTGCACTCTCATTTTATGTGATCCGTGCTTAAACACAAAGGGTGATGTTTAAAGACGTTCATGGGAGTAGCCTCATTCAAAAAAAAAAATAGGTACTTTGAAGGCAGCCCTGAAGTCCTAGGGCTTAAGAAAAGTCTCATCCATTTCTTCTAATCACAATTTTGTTTACGAAGAGGATTAAATTCAGTGCACTCATATATATATATATATAAAGACATTAATACTTTGTTTCTGAGATGACTGAAATGTTACCAATGAATATCTGGCCTGAAATATGCAAATATTTTGAGTGTCTATTATTTACCTGAATAACACCATCTTCTTAAAAACCTCTTTTCTGCAAATGGATAATCTAAGAGTCTACTTGTATATTATAAACAAAGATATTTGTTGAGTTAATGTAGAAATTAATGGATGATTGATCTTTTGTCTGCAGTTCATTCAGCTCTACAAATTTTTGAAATACATTTAGGTGCAAGATACTGATAGATTTTTTCACATAGCTGTTAAAAAACTGTTAAAAAAAAAAAAGCACCAAAATCCAATTAACATACGTTCACTCTTCCAACAAGTATTGAGAGTAGGTGGTGACATGGATAGAAGTGAATGTGTGCATCCAGATGTCATAGCTGCTACAGAGGTGCGCACAAGGTACAGTGAGAACGCAAGGGACAAGTGGGCTGCAGAGGAGATTAGGAAATAGTTCCTAAACAGGTGACACAAGCTAATGCAGCCGTATGAAAGGAAATGAGTATGAAAGGACATGAAGAACAGAGTAGTCTATGAGAAAGGAACAATAGGAAAAAATACTGAGGCTTGAAACAGCCCCTTGAGTTTGGAGAAACCATACCTACTTTGGGAGGGAGAACAGGATTCAGGAGATGGGAGAGAGGGCTGAAAACAGACCTGGAGGAATTCTTGGAGGTTGGGTTACGTATGACCTTGCAGGCCAGGCCATAGAACTTCACCTTACTTTATTCATCTGTGAGACATTGACAGGCTTTAACTGTGGGAGGGTGATGGTTGGTTTTGAGTCCCAAAATTACATGTCCCTTTAACCGCAGTTTGGAAGGTGGATTGAAAAAGCCAGGGGTAGATACCAGGCTGTCACAATAGGTTTGGTCAAGATGGAATCTGCACAACTTAGTGATTTGCTCAATTAACAGCTATGTGCCCAGCTGTGTGTTAAGTTGAAGAAATAAAATAGTAAGCAGCAAAATTGGAAAGCTTCCCAGAGGATGTTGCCTCCAAATTGAGGTCAGAAAAATCAGTAAGAATTGGTCACCTCAAGGGCTATGGGTAAAGAGGGATGGAATTTGTTCCTGGCTAATGGTCTACGGAGATACTAATCCTTTAGGGAACCTTACTTATGATGAAACAAGGGTCCTGGGAACTAAAAATCCTGTTAAGTAGAAATTCAGTTTTACAAAAATGTTGGGCTCTGGGGAAGAAAGTGGAGCACAGAGTCATAGCTGTTCAGATAGACAGACAGACGGATAACTGATAGATTTACGGATGGACGACAGACAGGTAGATAGGTAGACAGATGAACAGACAGATGAACAGATAGACATATAGACAGAAATGTAAATAGGTAGATAGGCAGATAGACATGGACATACAGATATACAGAAGACAGATGGACAGACAGACATGGATGGACAGATAAACATAGACAGATGGACATATAGATAGATAGACAGGTAGATGGATAGGTAGATAAATATGTAGATAGACAGGCAGACAGATAACTAGATAGATAGATAGATGGACAAACAGGAAGAATTTAATGAAACAATACTAATACGTAAACAGTATGCTTACCTATTCTTTTCTTTACTGTCAACACAGCTAATTGCAGTCTCTTTACCAGCATTTAAATGATCTGAGCTCCTTTAGACACATCTTCAGTCTTCAGCCATCATTTACAGCCCCCATCATATGCACTCACAATTTCAATTGTTTTGACAAGATTGAAATTTTTCCTTAAAGTTTCATATTCTCTACAGTGCATTCTGGCTTCCTTACATTTCACAGTTACTAGTTGAGTGACAACTATGTGCAGTTGTGTATTTAGGATGTATCAATGAACAAATTTTTTTGACAATAGGATACCGTTGTACAAAATGTTATCGACGTTTCTAGAGTCAGCTGAAGGTGTTTAACTCCAGATATTTGAGCATTTTCCTCTGCAGCCTGAAAATGTTTGTAGATAAACACGAATCCTCCCTCCACTAGGAATAGCAAGGATTTGATTGCTTTCCAGTCTCAAGTGTTTGCTGCTTCAGGACCATATTCATCTTACTCTTTTTATTACTTCCTCTGCTTGTAGATTTTAACATAGAAAACTGAAACCTTTTAGGTGTGTGGATTTGCTTGATTATAATTAAATCTCTACATTGATTTTTATTAGAGTATTAACTGCATGCCTAGCTGTTAAGTGAGTTGTTGAATAGCTAATTATAAAGGAAGAATTGGCATGCATTTTCTAGGTTTACATTACTCTCATTTCTTTAAAAGAGACCCTGAGTTGACATGTAACTACAGGTCAATTGAGGTCACCGTATTAAAGTTTTGGACACTGAGTCCTGGCCTGTGAGAATTAACAACTTCCCCAGAGGAATCACATCCCACAGTCATACCTTGGCTTCTGGCAAAATTTGCCGTGTAATGATCATAAATGTAAAGGCCTTTAGTTGGCCTCACAAAATTTGACCTTTTGAGGCATAGCCTTGTACAAAAATATTTTGAAAGATATGGTGACCAATTCTGGACAGAAGAAAGGCAGGACTGACTTCTGAATTTGGTGTCCAGCCATTGAAAGCAGACTTCAGACCCTCTGAGGAAGCCCCCAGTAAATACGAGTGAGACTTTTCACCCTCGCGTGAATTCAGCTCGCCTTGCTGCATCCTCCTCTGGTAGCTTTCTTGTGGAACCTGCACACTGCGTCCTACCTGGGGATGCCTTGTCAGGACTAGTATTTAGAATTGCTTCAGTATGCATCCTACATTGCACAGCTGCTATCGGAAATAGTCGACATAGGCCTGAAGTGGCCATGACTGGGGGAACTATCTTGGACACTTGGCCTTAAATACCCATGTCTACCCTTTAACAAGTAATTTTTTTTAACCCAGACCTATAATTTTAAGCCTCAATAGAAGCAATTTACTACAGGTCGACTTGCATCAACAGAAATGTCTACGGTTTTGGTGGGAAATGTGTTTTACTTAAGTTAAAGTCAAAACACGAGTCTCAGGTGAAGAGAGTAAGTGTGGATTGAACTCAGTGGGAAATCTTTAAATATGAGTTTGGAGATGGTGAACTAAAGTCAGATGTAGGTTTGAATTGCAATTTTGTTCTAGAAACGTCCTTATTTTTGTTTAAAAATATAACATGTATGGACACAAAAGCAAAGTAGATGTTCATTAAATACCAATTTCCATATTTTTGGTTCCTTTAAATTATCAAGAGACAATTCTGTTGAATCTTGTCAAACGATTTGACACTTGGACATATACTTGCATTTTGTTTACAAGAGTAACAGCACATCCAGGGGTGTGAGATGACATGGGAGCAAATCCTATCTCAAAGGTGGAAGGGGAGCTAGTGTTGGAGGTGATAAACCTGCTTGGGTCCAGCCTTTGTCATTTTTGTCCTTCGCAAGTCATTCTGTGACCCCCAGTTTTTCCCTCTGTGAAACGGGGAGTCATAACACTTCTCAGAGCTGTTGTGAGCATGCAAAGAGAGGACGGAAGTGCGTACGTCTGGGGCACGCGTGCGCACTAGTCCCGGCTCCATACTGATGCTCCGTAAGGAGCTGATGCTGTCACGCTCCTTTATCCTGCATCCCTCCCCATCCCATCCTCTAATGCGGTGGTCCTTCATCTCTTTCCCTCTGACACCCCATTTCACCGGGAAGCCTGGGTTCTCTCAACATTACACTCCTGCCCCTCAGACTTTCTTGATCAGTCCTCCCTCCCTCTTGCCTAAAACAAATTATTTACTCTGCTCCATCACTCTTTCTCCAGATCCTTGCACGTCTCTCTCCCTCCTGGTTCTGCATTTCCCTCTCCTCCGGTTCCCTCCCTGTGACTCAGCCTTGCCACCACCCATCTCGCTTGTCCTCAGGCAGAGTGGCTCCTGTGCCCTGCTCCTTTGGTCTGCTCTTTCTTTTTTAATAGTTTCTGTAATAGTTTTTTTATAGTTTTTAAATAGTTTTTTTATAGTTTTCTTTTTTATTTTGGCCTGTGCTTTTTTTTTTAATAGTTTGGTGGCAGAAACCATTCTGGTATGCAGGGACTTAGTTTATGTCAGAGGAAAAACAGACCTGGTGCTAAATGATTAACCTCTCATAGAACCCGTCGTTCTCATGCCCTGCAAGCTCAGGGCTCGGGCTGTGAGATCGCTGAGTGACTTAGCCTCCATCTGTGCAACATTCATCTAGAAAGCCACGTGTTGGCCTCGAAATTGCATCATATATTTTTGCCACTTAGTTTGGTACCATGTAAAGCCAACCTAAATATTCCATTTCAAGTCATGTTTAAGAAGTCCTTTTAAGTGCTTATGAACTGCATTAAGGAATGAAACCAGGTTTTAGTGAAATTGCAAAATCTGTGAAATTTCTCAGTCCTCGGGTGAAAATGGTATTATTCGATTTTCAAGCCACATTTAGAGAATGTCTTTTGAGCAAAGAGTGTGTTGAAATTTATTCTTATAATAATGCCTTTGAAAGAATAACAGATGAAAATTCATTCTTTATCACTGGAAGGGACTCCATCCCACAGTCCTTCCTGCATAAATTCATTCTGTAGAACTGAGTTAACGTGAAAGATCAACCCAAGATGAATGAACAGATTTGATAGGTGTTGTCAGCGCTGTCTTCTTTTAATCTGGAAATCGAAGGGACAGTCCAGGTGGCAGGATCTGCCTTGGGGTCTGACAGAGCATTAACCCCGAGTTCAGGGATTTAAATGCACATTGAGGACCTAAGCTGTACCTTTTTGGCTTTAAAATCTGGTATCTTACCATTTTATTGCTTGGAAATACAGGAGATACCCTGTGTCAAAATAATAAGAGCTGTGAACGTCATTCACTTAGCGGAAAAACTGTCAATCTGAACGCAAGTTGAACAGAGCACCTGCTAATTAACATACTTCCTGTGACTGATGAGTCTTCCCTAGTCTCACACCCTTTAAACTGCTTAATTAATTTTACAGCATTGTTTTCAAAAGGATGAAGTGTTATTTCATGGCTCCTGTCACTGTGAAAAATAATACAGATTAGGTATTTTAAATATGCGTTTTATTTAAAATACATGCTGAAAATGATGAAAAAAGCAAAAACATGTATCTGTTTTAAATACATATATATATATTTTTTTCACATATAAACATCAGTTTTTAATTCTCAATCCTTAACTCCGAATTGGCTTCATAATAGTTTTGAATTCTGTATTAAGGTAACTGTCCATGCATGGACAAATATTCTTTCAGATACTTTTAGACCTTAGAGGACATGTTTTTACTCATATATCAGCCACCTGCATTTAGTCGGTTCAAAAATGAAGCATTCCCCATCTTGTTATATCATTTTAATTTGTGTATCTACTTAAATTAACCTCAGAAGATATCTCCCTTTAGCTACCTGTTTGGAAGAGACTTCCTTATTGCAGAGTAAATTTATGAACACTGTAAAATTACACGCAGAGTTCCCCCAGGGCATTGTTTCTTGCAGGCAAGTACTTGGAGTATCCTGGGGTTCATTATTCTGATTGTGCTCACGCATTCAATCGAGATACCTTTCCTGAGGGCTTGTTCTCTGTGCAGCTGTGTTCTAGGCACTAGAGATACAGCTCAGTCGGAGACAACAGACAGAAGTCTCTGCCCTCGTGGAGCTTAAAAGAGGTTCATTACACTGGGGGGGCTCTACACGTGCCCTCTTAAAACCACACGGCATGCCTCTCTGCGAGAACTCGTCAGTTTGGTTTGAATTCCATTTCAGTAACCGTGTGATGGGTTTTCTTCTGGGTTTTAAAATCACTGTCTTGTTAAGAGTAACCAGATTTTCCTTGGACAAAATGTGTTGGGGTATCAAAGTTATTATGTGAACCTGCTGACTGAGGATCTTTTCTGACCCTAATGTTTTAGGGTTCTCCCACCATGTCTTTCTAGAAGGGGATACGCAGCCCCAAGAGCGACTGATCAGCCAGTCCTTAGGGGAAAGCATCCCGCTCGCTCCAGGTCGAGTGAGCACCCTAGTGTCAGAACACTGTGTTCTACCTACCACCTTGCCCCCGGAGGGTCGGCGCCACCTTCTCCGCTTCTGACAAGGTCGCTATTCAGTGTCCAGCCCAGCATCCGTGTCCTGCCTCCGGGTGTCGGTGTGGTGTTGTACCTTCCTGAGCACGCGATGCTTTCACTCATTACGACACCATAACTCTTAACCCTTTCTTTGTGACACTTAAACCTCTCCCACCTCCTCTCTTACCTGCATCTCTCTTCACTGTGCTGGTGGTATTCTCTAGTTCCTGCCAATTAGCTACCATTGAAAATTAAATTTGGCTGTGTTATGTCCTTCCATCTGTTTGTGGCATATTCATATATACATATATATTTTTTTAATTATGTGAAATTCTTTATAAGAAATTACCTGGAATTAAATGTGTATTTGCTTTAAAAAAGTGTTGTAAGAGGAATTAGAAACAAAATGCTTTTCATCTTTGTTCAATAAACTCTTAGCGTTTTAGAGTTCTTAAGTAAAAAAAAAAAAAATTGAATGCCAGCAGATGGAGGTCAGCTGATTCCTGTATAGTAGTAATGTATCTCCACACTTCTTAAATTTGTTTTTACAATTTTGATCTTTGCACCAGTATATTTCATAGTATGTGCCCATGGTTATTTTTTTAAAGTATCTTTCAAGGTTTTTCCTATTTAAAAATAAAGTACAAGTGAATAATAATTTATAAAAGTCTGCAGCTAGAACTATTCTTATCACTGATAAATAATTCTAGCTATAAATACAGATTTAATAGTTGCAATTTAGGCAACGGCCTTTCTTAAATAATTTACCCATGTTGTGAAGACTCAGAGGCTGTAAGTAGATATTTTAGGTTGAGCCTACCAAAAGGAGATAACTTAACAGAAAGCCACAGCTTTGTAGAAAGTTAATGTAAAGAACTGAGTTTGTTTCTGCCCCGTTCAGGAATTCATTCTGAAGAAATACATGTAGCAGACAGTCCCGCATCTTTTAGCCCTTTTTTGTAATATTCCTTTTACACGTAAGAAGTATTTGATTTTGCTTCCAAAGGCCCGTTTAGGAGTTTTATGTCTGTCTTAATAGTAACAGATAGAAGGAAAAGATTTTTGTCGGGTCCTCTTGGGATTTCATTGTTTCATTTGCCCTGCTTTGTTTTTTCCCCTGCAGAATGCACCGTCAAGGAAGCCCAGCCCAGTCTCCGCCCGCAGACACAGCCTTCAGCAGTCGCAGGGGAAGGCAGCTCCCACAAGTGCCCGTGAGAAGTGGCAGTATAGAACAAGGTATCCCATAAAGAGAGATCTTTGCCAAAGTCTTGGATTTGAGAGCCACCTCTTTTTATACCTTTTTATTGAAAGAGTAGTGTTTTCATTTTATATGTAGTTTAATGAATCCTAGGAATTCAAGATTCTTAGAATTTTATTCCCAGCACCTAATTTTAACAGTTCACGGTATATACCCTGTTTCTGCTGAGGGAGTGAATGAATGAAGGTTGATTCAAAGAACAGATTGAGCCCTGGGGATACTTTTTCCAAAGGTACAAAGAAAGAAAATAAAATTTAAAAACCTTCAGTACAATATGGTATTTTATGTGTTAAAAGAAGACTTATTTAACCTTGTTTTAAAAATATTTTCAAATGAAATGCTTGATTATATTAAAGGCTTTGCTAGTATTTTTATTTTAACTCATCTGCAATATCTTGTACTTTTTATGTAGGTTTGATGATGAAAAATTACTTAGAGCACACATCTTACTGTTTTTTTTTAACAGTAAAAGTCACTTAAAATTTCCCTCATTTTAAGCATATACACATTATGTTTTATTCTCCTAGAAAAAAAGAGGGCACTGGATTTGGGGGGTGTGGAGGGAAAGAGTGTTTTGCTAGTGGAAATTAAATGCACTAAACTACCTAGGTAGATGATTTAAATACTGGCTTAAATGGATCACTGTTTTCTTCATGTAACCCAAGGTGCTGTCCCATTTCTCAGTAGGTGAAATGACTTGTTATCAGTATATGTTATCACATAAATCTTACCAGAGATTTGTTAAGCAGTCTGGTGAAATGATGTTTAATTTGGGGTTATAATATAAATGTGGCAGACTTATATTTGGATTGAAAATCTCCATCCCTACGAAACAACTGAAAGGTTAACATTTTGAATATTTTTTCCAACAGTGTTGGTTGTTGCAGATGTAAACCTTGTATATTTCCTTCTGTACTGAAGGCGTTGGGTACTTGTGTTTTACTCACTGGAAGTGCTTTACTGAATGTATCACAGAAATGTGAAGGGTCTAAGAAGATAAATACCTCGTTTCAAAGACTGATACAGCAGAGTTTGTCAGACAGTACTTGGTTATAGAAAAATTAGGTTTAAAGAAGTATCAACTTACTGATAGAAAAATGCTGCTCCAATAACTCTGGATTTGTATTACTTTTTAAAATCATGCATCTCATTGATATATCTTGCTTTAATATTCCAGGTTATTATAAGGGTCTTCATTTAGTTAATCAGGAAAATATGAGGCTATGTGAAACTCTGACTTTCTTTTCTAAAATAGCAATTAATTCATTGGAATTCTCTATTCATGTGTTTAACGAACTTTTTCTCTGGGAACATTTTGAGAAGATAATTCATTATTAATTTTTTTTTAAAACTGTCATCAGTAAAAGCTTAGATGAAATTATTTTAAAATATACTTTAAAAATGAAATTTGGTGTTTATTGAAATTATCCATTCATGAACTCCTGTTGCACAACTAAAACAACAGATTCTCATGTTTAGCTGCAAACGTAGTATCCTTGGTCGTATTTCGCTAAAGATTGACAACCAAAAAGTCATGTGTTCCTAAAATTCTTTGCATTTCCTCCAGCTGCTAAAGCACTTCAGGCTCGTAAGCATAAAAGGCACTGCCTATAATTCTCATACAGTGAGATTACACTTTTATTATTCTGTGGAAATAAGAATTGCTTCTACAGGATCAGATGGGTTGGATTTTGGATTTTGGTTTTTCAAAAGCTCATGTTCTATTGTTAATATCAATCAGCATTACTGTCTGTGATATTTGTACTCACGGTTGTCTTTCAGAGAAATCATCAATTTGTAAGGATTGAATTGAGGTGGGAAGAAAGGAATGACTGAGGATGGAATTGGTGGAGTTATTTTGATATTTAATATCACAAATACATTAGGAAACGCTTGTTACTTGAGGTTCCTGAACTTTCTGATCTTGAGTCATACAGATACAACATACATGTATTATTGTACCTACATATTAAAAAAAAAGTTGACAACATACATGTATTGTTGTATCTACATATTTGTCTATAATTGAAATGCATCCGATTGACTGTATGATGTTAATATGTGCTTTGGGACATTTGATAAAGGATGATGCTGTCTGCCGTCATCTTATTATGAATCTATTTCAAACTGAAAAGTTCATCTGACATCTTTGTGTGTCCTCAAATATGTTTAAAAGTAAGCTTCTAATTTGATTAATGGACTAGACAGAATTTAGCTTTAAGATTGATTTCAGTGGTGTTCTTAGGACTATAGCATCATGTCGTTTTTTTCCTTTGATATCTGAGATTATATTTTCTTTTGATACGTTAAAATTTACTTCTGTCTTCTATGAAGATTAATGCAGAATGTAGTTGGTTTGCAAATAGATAAGGCTGTATCCTACTTGACTTCCTTCTTTCTGGTCTTGTTTTATGTTTGTTTTTTTTTAGTTTTTAACAAAGGATAATTTTCTTTTTTTAAATAAATAACTGGGTTGATAAGCTGTTGATTGGTAAGAGCAACTATTTCAAATGGTTTAGATTCCTGGATAATGATACAACTTTTTGATGAACTTATGAAATAATTCCATTCATACACAGTTTCTGGAGACAGTTATCTGCATTACTTTGTTTAGGATGAATACTGGGATGATTAAATTGTTTGGATGCATGGGTTTTTTTTAATGTAATTTAGTTTTACTACTCTTCTCTTTGTATGATAAAGGCAATATATATTATTTTGAAAGCTAACATATAATTTGAAAAGACATGTTTACTTAATTTTTGAAAAAAGTATTTTAAAGTTTCTTTTAAAAATTAGGAATGGTAGCCTGTTTGCTCCATGGCATCTGATTATGTTAAAGTAGAGTTAGGGAAAAAGAAGAGGAGTGATTACAATATAGATTTTGAGGTAAAGTAACTGAAAAAGTAGCCTTAAAATTTAGGTAACTCTGATGGTATGTGATAATGGAGAGCAAAGACTTGAAAGAAATTTCTCTGGGTTTATGCCAATGTAGTCCTTGTGGAGAGTGAGACTGAAAACAACACAATTTGTTGCATAAAATGTGTGATTTTCTGAAGCCAGTCAAGTGATTTTTATGTGTGTGTGCAGCCTAGACTTCTTTAAAAGATGTATTTAAGGATCATTCATAAACTAACACCTGATGTGCCAGTTATGTATTATGCGTTCTGTTGTTAACGACCTAAAACTCTAATGGCATTCCCTTAAGAAATACCTAGATAGGCCATTATTTCTCAGTAAAACAATGTACCAACAAGGAGGTCACTAAAAGCTTAAGAAATGTCTAAGAAGTATTGTCCCCAAAGAACAATTTCACTTTGAGATATTTTAATACAAATTTGAGACGGAAGAAAGGACCACTTAAGTGAGAATATATTTTTTTCCATGCGGAAAATGTTACAGAATATTTTTCACAGTGAAAAGAAAATGCCTACTATCTAGCAAAAAAAAAAAAGGAATTTATCTTTCTCATTTATTATATGAAATTTCAAATTATCTAAAATGCTGTCATTTTGGAAATGAAAATGCCACTTATGAATGTTAAATATGCTTTTAAATTCATTTGCAATAAAAAGTCACAATGGTTTAAAATTAAAATATCTTAGTAAAGTGGGTGCTGAAATATTTTGCAATTCTTAAAGGCAAGAAAAAATACCACAAAAATACAGTGTTCAAATGTCAAATATATTAATTTCCCAATGTTTCTGTTTTTATTTCAAATCTTTAAATTATTGTATTCATTCTTTCTTTGATTAATTTTAGTACCATATTTGTCATGCAATTATGTCACGTTATACATTATGCATTTTTATTATTCATGCCATTGTGTTGATTCACGTTTCCATGTCTAACTATAAACCTGCTGATTTCTTTCTTTTGTTTCCATCATTATGTGCATTTAATTCATTGAAGAACAAGAAAAATATAACTCATCCACAAAAGGTAAATATTAATGTAACTTTTTAACAATTTCATATTGTTCCTTTTCTTTGGTAATATGTGAGCTGTGTAACTGTATTTATTGAAATGACAAGCAAACTTACTTTTACAGGTAGTGTTTTTCCTGGCAATGATTTTGTAAGGCAGTTGGCATGGATTATTTTGTACTGTGAGGAGTTCACATCAAAGAGGAAAAGATTCAAATTAAGAGTATTTTTGCTTCAAAAATTGTTTGGCTACCCTGACAGCTAGAAGACAGTTCTCTTAGGAAAATGATAGCATATTTGTCTATGTTTTTGTCTGTTGGCGCTCCCCTGCTCTCATAGAGAAAGGGTTTAACTCTAAGAAGTAGAAGATTCCTGGAATTTCCTTCTAAACAGCAGTAGCCTCATGAAGGTCTGGCCCCTGCAGTCATGCATCTAAGTAGCTACCTGAATGTTACTCCTCTTGGCCTTGAAAGTCCTGCATTACCCATCAGCCCTGTCCTCCTGAGGGACACAGGGGGAAAACCACTCAGCCTGCTCTGTTGGCACCTTGCTGGCCTCCTCCCCTCTGGTCCTTTGGATCACATTTGACTTTTGGTCTTTGGATGTGAGTCTCAGACACAGACCTCATCCCACTCTCATGTGCCACCATATTTAGTGTTACTGGTGGCTTGATAATTAAATATGTGAGTATGAGCTTTCTGCTTAATGAAATAATAGTATTACTAATACTAAAAAATTATATAGTGCTGTATAATTTACTCAAAGTACAGGTGCTCAATATTTGTGGATGAGTGACTGAATTAATTTGTTATTTATAGTAACCCTAAAAGTCAGTCCTGCGAGTAGCATCACCCTTGTTTTGTGAAAGATGAAACCCAGATTTAGAGACTGAGAGATTCACCCATTCACACTGCTGATGAGACATAGACCACGAGCCCAAAGCTCTTACTTTTGACCCCCTCCCTCTATATGTTAGTGTGTCCTATTTTAATAGGCCTAAATCCCAAGGATTTAGCCTGAACTCCTAGTATATTGAGGTACGTGCTATGTAT